CATACAATACGTTATACAAATGTATGTCTTAGACTCGGTTTAAACAAAACTTCCTCAACTGAGTCATCGTCGCTTGGGCCAAACCCTTTGACCTACAAACGAAGAATTAAGGTTGTTACTGCTACATAAAATGTAGGTCATCCCTGTAGTAAAAATCCTAACGATAAACGCTGACAGTACATCAAATAAAGTAAATGAAGAAAAGTTTCGTAGTGGATCTAGTTAGTTGTGATTTGATATTGTTTTGAAAAAGGTTCTTCCGAATTTGGAAAAATGGGGATGGTGGAGCATAAGTTATACGATAGGTAGTAGAAGCTATACATTCCCTATTGCCCCTACAATGAATAGAATTTTCTTGAACACATGATCAAACTTATTATTATAACAATAGCAGCCATTCGTAGTTTAACTTACAAAAAAATGGACCTAAAATAGTACCTTGAGGAACTCCTAAGCTTGGCAATTTATAACATTAATTGAAGTTATTCAGCAGTTTTGTAGCGCTTTAAAAAGATAACAGAAAATACTATGGTCTCGAACAATGACTACTGTACGATATGTCACTTTGATGATTTCAGTAAAAACAAAACATAATTTACTTACAGGCACGCCATAGTGATATTTAATTATAGGTGTGACTTCTACAATTCTATTCATGTGTATGTACAATTGAGGTAGTTTGCACGCACGTTTTCATAGCTAGAAATCATAAGTTCCATCAACCCTGTTTGCGTCAGTAGATAAAACAAACCATTATAATATTGTAGACTTAACTGGATAAACTCAATTTTCCTTATGAAATCTATCGACAATATTGAAATAGGGACTTAGTACTTGGTACTAGTGAAGTATTTCTGAAGGACGGTAGCTGTTTGATTAATTACTAACAATAATAATAATATTATCATTATCAGTTGAGTATAATAATTGCAAAGAAGAAACTGACTCACAGTCTACCGTCTGATTCATATTTCTCTTATTGATCTTTGACGTGGCTTTTTTTAGATTTTGTCCACATTCACTTATAACATTTTTATTAAATGACTTTTATGTTGATTTATTAACAAGTTTGAGAAAAATATTGACTAAACTAAAATTTTAGAATCGCAACTATCGAGTTCCTAATAGAGCAGTTTTGTCGTTCAAATCGTGCTCTGACGTAGATATTACTATATTGATTTTATTCCTAGGGAATATATAAAGAAAGAAAAACCATTTATTATAATAATATGGCCTTTATTTTTTTTAATAAGCTCCCGGAGATGGATCCTAAAGGCCAGTGATCATTTTCACAGTAGCGTTGTTAATTAATATTGGTGGCTAAGAATGTTTGTATTATTATCGAGCATCTCTAAAGTATTATTTGAATCTGTGCTTCACCGACAAATCTGAAGTTTTCATGTTGAGATAAAAAATTGATCTTTTGTAGGTTATTTTGGAAATAACCTACAAAAGATCAATTTTTTTATATTTATTATAAAAATAAATGATCTACAAGTTTACATTATTTAGATAGTTAAATAAATTGAATCTTATAGATACTGAAACCCAAATATTGATCCACATCATCATAGTTGACAGCTCATGTGGATGACATTTAACTTATAGTCTGACCTTAATATTATTATCAATATCAAGAATTATTTATATCCGACCATGTTCTATCTAGGAGTAGAAAGGAACCTCACTGATATGATACCTATGTTATAAAATCACTGTGCTGTTATGTGTACACAATAAACAGTCAAGGCTTAACATGTTTTATGACGTCATTCAAGGGTCCACACTTTTAAGTGCACGTGCGCTCTGGTTTGAGAGGAAAATGCTAAGAAGTAATATTAAAATTATACTGAGGTAATTGGTAATATAGTATATGTATGTGGTTCGTGAAGACAGACAATAACCGTTTGTCTTAGATGTTAAAAAATGTAAAACGTGCCGTAATTTCTCTTACGGCATTTATCACCTTTTCAATTTACTTAAGTATTTTCTATGGACATGTGCCTCAGAAGTAGGTTAATTTAAATAATAGGGACCATATAATGTGAAGCATACAACTTAAGAGATGAACATAGAACAAGATGAAATACATTATGGGATGTAATAAATGTTTGAACTTGATAAGAAAAATGTCAGGAAGAACAAGAAAAACTAGAGTAAGTTAGTCCATCAATGCAACAAAATAATGATATGCATTATACACACTCAATATTGCCACGTTATTTTTTATATACTATTGGATATCATTGTGAAAGTTCTTGTTCAAGCGAAATTAAATTACAGTATCGATAAGACAATCTTGAAATGGCATTGTTACTAAGTGGAAACCTATAAGTGTTCGGGAACACTCAAGATAACACGACACTACACCACTCAATTTACCAGAAGGCTACAGCCGTATAAGCAATCAATCAACCCTTATTTTATTTCAGAAGTGCCCTTATTCCTTCCCACACGAAAATATACAATTATTTTTCTACCCTCTTATCACAGGAATTGAACGGGCGCTATGTTTTTCCTTTATTCATATTAATTTAATATCCGTATATAAAACCATTAAAAGCAAAACAATAGTTGTAAGAATACGCAAATACCATAAAACCGCGAAACTATTATAACATAATTAATGTTTGTCATGCGTTACAGGAAGATTATATCCTGTGGCCACTGATAAAATCACATGCTTATCCTTCCCGAATACAATACAAAATATGCCAAAAACTCTAATCGTAATGTGAACATATTCGCAAATATCTAACATTTTATAAAATATTAATATACGTCCTCTATTTTAAATGCCAAACCCGCATTTACGTTTATTAGAATAATCTAACACGCGAAGTTATGCAATGAAGAAGAAATGTCAGCATACCAGATCTAGGCTACGAAATAGTGTCGAGATAAGTAAATGTTGCATTCGAAAGAGTGTAAAAGATATTAATTTTATCAGATACCGATACACCCACCTGTGTATTATTGATTACTAGTATGTCTATCGTATGATATGTAATAATACCTAAACATAATCACTGCATGTTGTAGTGTTGAATCATTATAACCTTGATCACTATATACTTGTCATTTTTTCAAACGATTGTTCATTGAATATCTTTCAAGTCCATCGTTGATAAAAGATGACGCCACGTGACTGTATCAAGCGGCGCATCTCAATTCTCCCAATAAACGTTAATTGTCTCATCATTAGCACTGGTTGTCTGGCTGTTTCTAGGAGGCCGAAAAACATCGACAGTCTTTGGACATAGTTAAATGGAAAATATAATTTCGTTCTGTTCGAGCGTGATCGTTTGATAAGGCATTTCTTATCAAATAACGTAATTGCAGATTATCATTGTCTTCGTTGCAAACCGTTTGGCGTTTGACGTTTTTAGTGTTTGCCGGTTATTGTTCCGAAGCGTCTAACCATGCAATATCGAATAGAAGAATATTACATAGTATAAAACAAAGACACTTTCAGTCTCTATGTGCCTATGTGTGTTTAAACGTTTAAAAGTACGCAACGGATTTTAATGCGGGTTTTTAGAATAGACAGAGAGATTGAAGAGGAAGGTTTATATGTATTATCATTTAAATAGTGGAGAGATTTAGCATTAGCACCCGTGCGTAGCCGGGTCAGGTTGCTAGTTCATAATAATCGTAATTTGCAAGATTATTAACAAGACAAAATATTCGAGACATTTAATTTAGTAGTCAGATATCCGCTAGCAGATACACGGAAAACTAAATCATTAATACATATTCATAAAAACTTTGAGGTGTAATAATAAAATCTTGTATTTTACCATTTCGTTTGATAGCGCGTATTAGCCATGTTACCTGCCAACTTAAACTCTGGAATCTGGATTATATCATAGGTAACCATAAATGCTATACAAATAGTAATTTCAATCAAGTAATTAGAGGCTTTGTCGTGACTTGTTTTCATTAAATCTATTGATATTATCTATTCCAATTGTTTACCGCAACTTGTAATACTACAGTAATGTATTATGATACAACTCATAGAGTAGGTGTAATTTGAAAATTGCAAATAATTCATCTTCTTTGAATGCGTAGACTTGTTGATCGTAGAACTTGTGGGTGTTATTTAAGGTGTTTACGTGCAAGCGTACTTATTGTGTTAATACTTAAATTCTCTTCACACAGTACTATTAACACCAGATTGTTAACACCGTTTTAAAGATTATGAACTTCGAATAGCATGACATACAAATGCTAGCAGACAACACGCTGTTGAAATAAGACGATAAACAGTAGCAGTTTGTTCTAGTGAAAATATTCCCAAGTGAACTACTGTTACTGAATTCGCTAGAATGCGCCTCTTGTTCCTGATAAATATTATTCCCATACTAATCAAATGACTAGGTAACTAAATAATCTGTTCAGAATCTCGGTCTTTTATCGTCTTAAGTCGTTTTAATCGTCTTTTTAAGTTTAAATTTTAACACCCAATGAAACAATTCTTTGCACCAAGTCATCAACATCTTTAATGATTGCATTGCAGATTCTCATCAAGGTTCATTCAATTACAATTAAAACAAAACGAAGAATTGTTTTTAAGATTCGTCTGATTTAATTAGTCGACTCATACTTAACCTAATACTTAGTAATTAGGTGTCGTGTGGATCTTAAGAGCTTAGAGTGTTGAGGCTTAAGTGGATAGTTTATCAGAGTGACGTAAGTGCTCAAACCACAAACTAGAATGACGGTGATCCAATTGAGTTTTATCAGTACAGCGAATTATCAAAATACTTATTAGAAGAGGACAAACGACAGACCCTAAATACATACAGTGGGGTCTGTAGATTTGTAGAAACGATCTAGGGTTTAGCGACTAGTTCATATGGAATGCAGATTTTTTTTAACACGAAGGAAATAGTTACTCTTATATCACAAAAACGATACTATTGTTGCTCCCTTTGAAATTATATTTTGCTTTGTCATTTAACTTGTTAAGGTTTTCTTTTTCTTTTTTTTTTCAGGAAGACGAAGTGCTCTGGCGGTGCACAGAATGCCGATCGCGCCGCGCGGCCCTCCGCCATCGACGCCACCCTACCATCTGCTTCTCCGTAGGAGACCTAGCTTAACCCTCAAGTGTCCTTCTATAATATAACGTCTAACTTTTTGTACGCCTCTTTTATACCGACCTATAAGTATAAGTACGCAGTGTTTAAGTGTCGCGCGCAAGTGTGAGTGTATATGTGTGTCGATGGTGCGGCCGACATGGGAAAGTCCTCGGCGAGAACACATGGCCAAGGTGAGTGTCTTCCCGCCCACTGTACTAAGCACCTGTCCTCAAGGTCACTTTGCTATTCTTTGTTTATTATATCTGAGTACATGTGTATATGTATGTATCTTCAAACGTCTTCAGCTTGTCCAGATCATCAAGCAGTTAAAGCTTAAATTTGAGTTATTGCATGTTTGCAAGGACTCCTTATCCAAGGTAGCACAATGATTTTATTTTAATACAAGTCAAGTTAGTCCTTTCTTAGTCTTTCCCACCTTTCCAAGATAAAAGCTTAATCTTCCTTATAATATTCTTAAATTATTACCCAGCCCACGCACTTTGAATATCTCTTGCGTAACAAATACAAACGCCCAGGCCTAAAACAACCGAGTATCAATAGGTCATAGATATATTAAGTCTGGGCCTATGAAACGTGTAAGTTCAAATCTCACGCCTATTCTTTTCTTGATATCATTGGATTTGGAGACGTTCTTAGAAATAAAAAGGCCCACTTGTTTTTTCTAGATGTCCAACTATCCTTCTTATGTTTCTTTTTAAATAATGTAAAGTTCTTATTATTTTAAAATACTCTATGTTTACCTAATGTAAGATTTGTTTCATTCATGTACTTTATGAATTTATCAGCAAAGCTTTCAGTGCTGCCAGTGTGGCTTGACTCAGTCCACATGATTCATTCATGACTTTTTATTTACACGAAACATCACTTGAATTACATTTACATTTGCGTAGAGAGAAATTTATTGCAACCACTGCAAAGCTTATTGCACAAGACACAAACAACAACTTTGTTAAGATCTGGTCAAGGTCGCCGTAAGTTGTGAGGTGGAACGAAAATATAGATTAGGCTATCTGATGATACAATTTGACTCAATTCTAAAGATAGTAATTACTCATTGAACTTTTTGATTAATAAAAGTTTTGATGAATACTGTCCTAGTAAAGTTTAACAACTTTAATTACTAAAATTTTTCATAAATACCAAGGGAATAAAGGAATATGTCAATAATTCCTATCGTCCACTTGAACTCTGTTCGTTAATTGCTCCAATTTGTTCCACTTTCTCGTTACCTTCACTTATGGCTCCAATATCGATCACTTATGATATTGAACTTATAATTGCACGTCATCCGTGACACTAACCGTCCACTGTTATTACAGTATACCGTAGGATGATGATTATACTGTCCTTCGTTATATCATATTATTCGATTTGTGACGGAACATAATTATTATGATTTGTACACGTCAAATCGATCACTTTTACATATAATTACACTTTTGATAAGTAGAGTAGAATTCAGTAGAAATGTATTATATGTTTTTTTATATGAGGCTGGGAAATTATCTAATGTCTTTTTTCGCTATGTGTGTAGCAAGACGGAATTTCAGACTATTGACTAAAAACCACATCGTTCCTTCTCCTGCTCCTGCCCAGGAACGCGGTATATTATTGCTATATATTATTCAAAACTCCGATGTAGATCTGCCCTATCCCATCTGTGGTGGTCTGATGGCTTTTTGAGACGCGCGTGGAATATGACGTATCGCACACTCCGGTCTAGGTCTGGTCGCGCGTACAGCTAGCCTTGCTCGCCGAACCGCACCGCAGCCGGTTTTTCTCCTGCTGGGAGGGGAGCTGGGAGCTCCTCACGTGAAAACGATACTTCCCTCAGACGCTCCACCTCCTTTTTTATGAGCATGTCTTCTTCACAAAAAAAAGAGAGACGGCTGCCAAGTTCCTCTTGCTCTGCACTATACGCTCGACTGAGGCTGGTCACCTCCGAGCACCAGGGGTGCTCAGCCCTCAGCCCTCAAGTAAGGCACACCGCCATAGTATGCGCCACCGTGTTCTCCGGGTGGTCCTCACAGTGACGATAACCGGTCGTTTCTTTCGATTTCGTTTGATTCGATTCATTGGACCGGAAATAGGTACCTCCCAAAACCTTAACGTTTCCGGTAAAGCACCTGCGTCAGGCGTAAAGCAAGAACACCATGGCGTCTCATTAGCCACTCAAAGAGGTTTATTTCGCTATCTGCGTTTTGCCTGCGAATTTTATTTAGGTCAGTTTAGTATAGAATAGAATATAGCCATCTTCCATCAAGATTGAGTTTACTACTTAATCTTTTTCCAATTAAGTTGGGATTTCCCAACTATGGTAAATGAAGGGGTTCACTTTGAAGTCGACATCCTTAATAAATCTAAATGCACAAAGTGTAAACGACCAGCGTTGAGTAAGGTGCACTTTACTGCAAGCTTAATGAAAAATCCGCCCCTTCCATCGGTGCCGTCAGCCATAGTTTCACCACCTACGATTTACGTCCGTCCAACTTTTAACACCGCCGTGATTTTCCACTTTAGACAAATATTTGTTATATGTGTTCATTACTTGTTCAAAGTTTGAACGCTTGTTTACTGTGTCGGTTGAGCTGTCATATGGTTGGTTAAACGTCCAATAAAGTATGCAAGTTACCCTTTGTCTGTCTTGGACTAAAGTAGTAAATGTTACAAGGAGAATTATTCTTGAAGATGGGCTTTGCGCTTTGTGACGTAACATTCAGTTTGTTTCAGAAAAAATGAAACAAAGGAACTGTCGAGATTGGATCATTAGTTTAGAGGGTGCTTCAATAATATATTTGAGTACTCGAAAAAACGGTAATTCTTTATCCTTTTATAATATAAAAGCGTCTTTGTGCGACCTCGACTCGCCCTAAGACGATCCGAAAAACCAAGCAATATTACTTTACCATTTACGACATATCAAAAAATATACTTGTTAGTACTCGTTGCATGCAACCTTTCCGTTCCTTGAAACAGGGGTCATGATCACGATACATGATCTCTCAACAAGCCAAAATTTGGGGTTTTATACAATAACTGCATCTTCCTCTTAGTAGAACAACAGATGGCAATGTTTATTACTTCCCAGAAGCAGCGATTAAAAAGAAACTAGTGCCAAAACTGTAAACGTTGTAAATATTTTTGGAATAACTCGCTCAATCCCTAATGATAACATTGTATGCGCATCTGAAGTGCTATTGAGTCTACTACACTACACAGCATAGTGCAATAGCCATTTAGTAATCGATGCCCGTATTAAACGTCGAAGGAAAGTAATGTCCGCTAATGCGATTTAGTAGTTCTATATAAACATCAGCAGTGGACAACGCGTTCTCTGGCGCTGACCAAGACGAACTATAGACACGCTATGTCAATTTTACATTAGCGTATGTTTACATAATATTATATTCTAAGTGGTGACCTAAAACCTCAACCTCTGGGATTACCGATATATGCTCTAAGTAAAATTAGTCTGGAGTTGGGATCCCTAAGGAATTTGAGGTTTATAGCTTGACACAATTTATGATGAAACAGGCACTCGGTTAACTAAAACGTCTCAAAGACTTTTTGAAATTAACTTGAGAAATAAATTAAACGTCGTCGGAAATATTCGAGTGGAGCCAGATAAAGTCAGGTCCAGACGCCATTGTACTCTATTGTTCCTTGTGTAAGGGCCTTTCCTGTTGAAATTTTGCCAACTAAACGGTTTGTGTACATACCTGTATTGTGATACGTCTAAGTTGGTTGGTCACTTAATTTAATAAATCCCTCTGTAATGTCTCAAGTGTATATTGCAAAAGAAAAATTATTCAAATTCTATTTAATATGTGTCTTTAATAGCAACTTCAAAATTAAACTTATACCTGAAATCAAAATATGTTTGGTGTTATTACGGAACTAGAGAGATTTTCTAAGATTGAATGTACGAAAAAGCGATTTATCTCGGCTGAAGCTTGGCCGTGTAATGTTCTTATGCGGATGTTAGCCAGACGTGATAAAGGACGAGTTTCAACTTATAACAAGACCGAGTTCCTTACTTAGCTTCAATGCTTGCTGCAAGCTTAGTAAATCAGAATCAAAAATATTTCTTCCTTACTTTCTTTATCACCTGCGAAACTTTTTATTATAGACTAGGTTAAGCAGATTATTAGCGTATCCAGACATTTTCGGATGTCTGCCCTTTCCGGCGTGTATGTTTTGATGTTTTCTTTTATAGAAGACTATAAAAAATGTTTGTTTACATCATAAATTACAACATGTATTAGACAAAATATATAACACAATCAGTTTTTTCCGGATGTGTTGAACAGGTGTTTCAATCGGTTCAACAGACCATGTGATTACAATTTTTCTTTTAATGAACGGTAGGTCCATTTGAAACGCTTGTGAATACTTGGGGGCATATCGGTAAAGTAAACATAGATCGGGAGGATTTTCCACAATGTTCACATGATCAAGTTTTTAGATTTTCCCCATGGCTATCAGTTTTATTAGGAGTAAACACTGAGAAGAGACGGCAACACCGGGGCGGTGGCATAATCAGTATCGGTGTAGGATGCGCGCGCCGAGCAGGCGGCGCTAGTGTGTGCGGCACACGAGTCTCGGCCCTGCGACGGGTCAGAGCGCGCGTGCGGGCGCGTGTCGCGAGCGGCGAGTGGCGCGCGGCGTGTACCGGGTGCGGAGCGGGCCAGCCGCCGGGGTGGCCGCGCGGAGCGGCGCGCGACATGGGGCGGCGGTAACGGCGCGGATGTGCGCGCGATCCGAGGCTGTGGAGCTGGAGGTGCTGGGCGCGGAGGGCGGAGAGCCGCGCGTACCGCCGCGCCCGCTGCGCCTGTCCCTCCTCGAGCTGCTGGGCAAGCTGGTGCGCCGAGACCAGCCCGCCCCGTCGCACCGCCGTGCTAGGCACAATCATCGGTTCCGTACTTTCGTCTCATGCGGTCGGTATCTATTGATTTGTTGCCGTCATTAAGATCGTACTTATAGAAACGTCTTATTGAATTTTATTTCGCTGGCCGCAGGCGAAGTCCTGCGTCATCTAGTATCGTACGTGCCTGACAGCGTGCATGCGACGTTGATATCGTTTGCGTAACGCCTTGGTATTCTGCTCAGACGCTCGCCGACATGTTTTCGTTTTGGCCGGCTCGCTGTGAATGGCAGAGCGACTTCCCCCGATTGATGATGAGTCATTTCAGGAATAGAGATGATGCACAATTGTACATAGTGGACAAGGTCGGTGTCGGCGCGCCCCCGTTCGGTCAACGGCCGGGGTGAGACGGCGCTTCAGCGCTTCGCGTATGACCCCGCGCTGTTGTTATCGATTACCCGCTAATGTTTCACTTCACTAAATTTAATTAGGATGCAATTCTTTTGCCATTATGTCTATTTCCGTACTTCAGGGAAGTATGTTAATAGAGTAATACAAAATTCCCTGTTAATCAATACAAGAACGACGTAGCTATGTACCTGTTTGCTCCATGTTTTTTCACGAGCAAAGGTATTATCAGCACCAGTGCGTGTAAATCGCGCGTAATTAGATTATTTTGTTGTTGAGTTAAAGAATTCCGTTTGAAACAAACAGTGTATATTATGATGAAACGTGCGGTGTGAAAACGGAATCAACTGTAGTTTCATGAATGGCATTGTTACGTTAGGGTCCTTTTCGTACTAAAAGATGGCGTTTCGGTCCTTTCGGTGCTGCCTTTTGTAACGTGCCCAATGCGAAATCTTTCGAAACTCGTATAGAGCAGTTTATCATTGAAATAGTAAATCAAGTGGCAGGAACTAAAGTATGATTATTATGTTAATCAATTAAAACATGCCATTATTAATCGGGTATCGCGGACACGCACATACATCACCAGCATGGTGATTTATGTCCAAACCTTCTCTCTGTACTCAAGGCCGATTTGCGATTTTAAACTTATAATTAGAAATTATAAGTTTAGGTTTCCTTACAATGCTTTCCTTCACCGTAAGTCAGTCGTGTTAAAAAAAGTATATCTGAAAAAGTCGCATTTCACAATCGCGTCCTCATGCATGAGGAGCTGACGATTTCGAGTGCCCATAACAAGTATGAATGAAATTAGACTTAGAACTTTGCCCAAAAAGAAAAATCTCTATAAAATAAAGATTCATTTCATGAAGACCCAGGTCCAAAAAGCAATGTGATATGAATAATAATAATAATGGATTCAATACAATGAGGATTTGCATAACACTGAGCTAGACAAGCTGCCAGCCGATGAATGAAGGCCAGCTACGGTCAATGACATGACAAGAAATTGGAAGTACAACCTGGATGTAGCCGGCAGAACAATCACAGGACAATAATACGCTGTGGGCGGGTTAACAACTAAAAACGAACATGATGACTCATTTGTTTGCAATTCTTTGAACATTCCATTCTTTTGTCTTCCTTTTAATTGTCATCACTAAGCCAAAACTTCGGTTAAGGATGAGCCCATGAGGAAAACCAATAATGTCGTTGATGCGTCTGTTAACATCCGTCTGTTTCACAAAAACCATGACTTTACCCGAAACCAGAAAATTGTCAGTCTTCTAAGTCAGCTAATAACCCATAATATATTCAGTGAAACAAAGAAATACCCGTAACTAAAAGAAAATGAGAAAGAAAAGCCATTATCCGCTGCTATCAAAAACTAAAATATGGCGCCCATTAATTCGATTCGGGATGTAATAAAAAGGTCTTTGAGTCTTCGCCTAATCATGTATTCGTGTTCATAAGTAATATCGGTTTCTGCCCATTTCCACGATTGTTAATTTACCGTGGATAAGTAATTACCATAGAATAATAGCCATGTTTAATACCCCAGTGCCACGTGCTAAACTAAATATAGGAAGTAGAATTTCTATGATTCTATGTTACTATTAATAAATCATATTGTAAATTAAGAATCAATGACAATAAAAGTTTCTAAGAAAGTTCAGATATAAATTTCAAATCAATGGTGTAGATAATTATTGATTTAGCCTTCGAAACCAACCGAACACTAAGTAATAATAACTTCGGGGCTTCGAGTTCTTTGTTGTTCCTTCTGACTCGTAAAATGACCGCCTACAAATTGTTCCGGACCCTTTTAAGCATTTACCCTCAGCAGCGACATTTTCGTCACTTTGTTAAAAAGTTGAAGGGAGAAAAATTAATTTATCTTTACCTTGTCCTTCAACTCGGTAACTTTGTCCTTGATTTCTTTTTCAAATGCTCGAATTATTGTGGCCACATTTTAACATGAGAATTGTTAAACCGGAATCCAGAGTATTCCTCAGTAATTTAATAATTGGTTATGTAACAATAACACAGTTCTATTTCGATTCTGTAAATTATGTTGCACGTGTAGTGTAATACTTCAGTTAAATGCTTGGGGGTATTATTACTCTACCCATATTTTGTAATAAATATTATCTGATATTAAAGTAATCCAGACATCTAGTATTCACAGTATACGTAATGGAATACGAATAAGACGCGACACGTGCAGGAAACTTGACATGAACGTCTCGGCCGTGTTTAGGTCTAGCATTGTAATGTGATTCAGTAAGGGTGTGTGGAGACGATGCCCCTGAAAATGTTATTAGTCGTAAACTGGGAGGAGATCGATCGCCGTCCCCTCGGCGCCCAGTCGAGACGCACTCGTAACCACTACGACGATGAACAGATCAACAGCTCTATGTAGATGTTGCTACATCCGCTACAGAAATTGTCAATATACAGAAGCGTTCAACTCCTACAATGAAGTTATTGCTCTGGAAGTTATTTTGTAGCTCCGCACCATAAGTTTACATCCTTTGACAAATAAATGTTATGGGACTGAGGAAAGTTATTGATTGTTAATTACAAGTCGGTTCAGCGGGATGTGAATTCGATCTTAAGTGCTATTAAATTATAGTTCTTATTTGCAAAATGTTTCTGAATTATATCTGTTTGGCAGAGAACTGAAATTAAATGCGGGAGATTTGCTTTGTCTGTTTGTTTCGGAGATATTTTTCAATGGCCCATCGATTGTTTAATGGAGCGCTGACTCCTTAAAACATTTGTTCCAAGTCAAGAGAATATACGTGACATCTTTTTTAAACTCGTTTAGTACTTTTTCAGAAAGTGCCTATTCAGGGGCTCAGCTGTAGCATTTAAAACAGACTTCATGAATAGGCGTATAGTTAATTATCCCTGTACCAGTTGATGGGGCACGTTCCTTTCCAGATGCAGTCAGTTATAGTCCCAGTTAGTTATACTGTCTTGTACTATAATTAGGTTGAATGAAAGGGTACCTCTATGCATTTATTTTTATGATTCAAGCACTTATTCGTTTAAGTCTGCTTTGTATCATAAGGTATTGATTCGTCAAAGTATGCCTAATAATAATACATAAGGATAAATACATGTATTTGTTGATCGCTCTGCAATTCAACGAATATCGGTAGCTCTGCGGTATACTTGCAATCAATGGTTTATCAATAACTTTAAAGTTTCTCATTTGTCTGTCTGTGGAATCTGTCTATAGACGTTCCTTTCATCCTCTTTTGACGTCTAATGATGAAGAATCAAAAACTAAAAAAACAAATCAAACAATGGAATGTAGCTAAAATTAGTCTAGTTTCGACATTAAAGTAAAAGTCATGGTGATAAGAGTACTATTAGGTTTTTCTCGCGTCTCGTTGTGGGTTTTAATATTTACATAAATTAAACTATCCTTTTATTATGAAGATAACGTTTATAACCGATAACAGAGTATCACTGTTATAGTCATATAATTATGATTAGAATTATGTTTCATGACGTTTTTGAGAATTTAATTTTAAGGTAATTTGAAAGTCATAGTCATAAATTTATTTATACCAGCAAATTTATGACAAGTTTTAGGATACTAGCTACTCTCTCGCGGTTTCACCCGCTGCTCGGGTCCATTTGATCGTAGCGTGATATTATAGCCTAGCCTATAGCACTCAGGAATATTGTAGCTATATCTATCAGTGAAAGAATTTTGGCAATCCGACCAGCGGTTCCAAAGATTACCCCCTACAAACTTAAAAACTTACAAATTTTACCTCTTTATAATATTAGCATAGATAAATAGCAAATGCTTTTACAGAAACTCTTAAATATAAAAAGCATAAAAATAATATCATTTTCGTAATACGACAGTTGTTACAACAGAAGGTTCGCCTTCTTGACACTTTTTATACGTCATCGTCATGTTCAAAGTGTTATTTTGCTCCCACACACGACTCGTAAAGTAAATTAGATAATAATTTCAATAATGGAATGATAAATATGTAGGACATACGATTAAGAAAATGAAAATGTACCCTACATATTTTGTAGATACATTTATTGTAGGTTTACCCAAGTAACAAGAAGTTAGTAACTTAAATTCTCCTGTCGCCTTTGCATACATTTTAAGTCTATTTTCGAGTTTTTTTTTTACAAAAAGCAGCTAATTTGTTTCACTGCCATATTTTGTGGATATATTATTTTTAAATTATGAGTGAGTTACAGCTGGCAGCTAATAAAAAGTATTTGTTTTTAGCAGACTTATAAACGCTTTGAAATAACAGAAAAAAAATTCGTAATTGTATTTATTAGCTTACCATAGAATTAGATAAAAATATAAAAAAAATATCGTCGAATGTGTAACCTACTTTTTCTAATGAATAAGGAAAACTCTTTCACTTTCACTGTTTTAGTAATAGTTGTTTGCTTGTTTTTGTGTTTTTGGCACTAGAGTATATAAATTATTACGATTTTTTTATTACGATTTCAAAAGTTGCACACTAGGTTGTTAATTCTTAAGGCCTTCTCATGGGATAGGCCGCCAAACGAGCAGAAGCGGACGCCTGATGGTGATGTTATCGGTGCCGCCTACCAGAGGATATTCGCAACACCAGACGCAGCCGCCAGAGCGTTGCTTGCCTCCTTTTTTTATGGTTCTGGGTGCCATTTTTCCACGTGTCGTATATTCTTAGTGACCCTTTAGTTTAAGGAGAAAATGCAAACATTGTTTGCTCGGTCGTTGATGTACAAATTAGTAAGTTCGTTTACATAGAACGAAACAAGACTTTTTAATATTGTTCGTCAAGAATAACTATGTTCAAAGTTTGTGGTTCCTTTAGCAAGCTTTGCATATCAACAGAAGTAGCAAATAGAAACAACTGTTTATTTATTCCCTTGTATTGATATTAATTATCAAAATTAGATCAATACGTATGTTGCAAATAGGTTTGTGAGAATTGTATCTAAGTGTTATTGTTTATTGTTGCAGAGAATGAACGGAGAATCAAAGCGAACAACAGAGAATACAACGCGCAGTTCCGCTATGCCGTAAGTTGATTTATATTATGTACACATCAATTATTACATTTTATTAACTTAAGCTTCTAATTGAAGAATGACAAAACTGTAGGACACTCCTATAAAACAATCATTTTATTTCCATATAATATCCAGAAAGTCATACACCTTAAAGAGTCGAAGTGCCGAATTTTTTCTCTACTTTTTCTTGCCACTTAACTTATAAGACAATCTATAAGTAATTTTAAGGTACCAAAAGGCTATAAATTGTTAAAGTTTTGAAGAAGCCTTTTATAGTAAGTTCAGCTAAGAAACCACTTGCTTTTAATGACATAGTCATGAATATATGGTTCGGTCGATAGTGGACTACTCTGGGGCAGATTTATGGGCTGATGTGTAAGTGCGATTCCTGAGAAAATGTTCTACATTCCGGTTATGCAATGGTGTTTCAGTGTGAATTCTTTTGTTTTAAACCAGTAGTTAAACTACAGATAGTAAATATGGACTAAATGCATAATTTAGGAGCACCAAGCATATGGGAGTCTTGAGAAAAGAGGTACTTTTCCCTTTATTTTAAATAATGTGGCAAGATTGACAAGTACTAACATTGACAAAATAAAATTATGCTATTACCATTACTGCCTAAGGCCTTTGTATTAAATAAAACAGGTCAAAATGGTAACGGTAACGACTTCGTCCTGATCCTCGTATGTACGTCGTACTTACCTTAGTCCAACAGTGATATTGAAAAATTTCATGCCATTTGATTCTGTTATTCCAAGTCAGTTGATAGATTCAATCAGCTCCCGCTCGAATGAATCAGATACTTCTATAATGCAATTAGCATTATAGGCGTAAATAGATATTTTAATGTAACCGTTAAAACCCGTTGTATAGCGTAAAACAGTTTTATGTACACTTATTGTATTCGAAGTTCACTAATTTCAAATTAGTACTTTGGTTTTTTTATTTCTTGACTTATTTTTTTCGTCTTTTTCCTTTAAGATATTTTGTAACGGAATTGTGGCCTTAAAATATTGCACTGTTAGAACACACAAATAAAACTGTAATAAGTTTACCCAATAATGCAATAAATATTTAACTAGGTACTAGTTATAATTATAAGTAACTCATTGATTTACTATTTCCATATGTAATGAATAAGGCTACATTTTTATAACGAAATAATCCCAAGTTAAGCAACGCTTGGAAGTTGCTGATTAATTACGATAAATTAATTCAAGTTGATTGATGATTAAGGCGGGTCAATGAAAAGTGACAGATTTAATTAGTGAGCTTTATCAGCCATGCCATAATAATAATAAATAATAATAGCGTTTGTTAATTATTTATTATTAGAATTAGTATACTATAACATTGAATTGATGAAAGCGTGTGTGAGTTTGATATTTTATGTATTACTGTTAGTTGTGACCTGTATACGCCTGCTTTAAAATATTGGTATCAAATTCGGACTACGTGTCGTTACTGAGAATTTCGAGTCTTACGAGGATAGAAATAAGGACCTCATTTAAACAGTCACGTACGCTCGCTAGACGTATAGTCGATAGTTTTGGTTACCTAGCTATAGAAATATATGTAACATAAAATTCGGGTGTTCTACAAACTTAGGTTATTAACAAGTAGAACAATAGAACACCCGTTAACCTGCTTTATAAACGGGAGTACCTTGCTGATCGTAGATCTTTACTCTATTTTGGACATAGATTCAACAATACATTCGCATGCGTCATACAAGCCTGAGCAGAAAATGACGTAAACAAAGATTTTGCGCGGCCTATGTATAATTAAGTGTAGGCCGTGATGTGTGAACAATATGAAATCATACTCTGATAAGATGTAATTCCTAATTATATCATCTCAATGAGTATTCACCAGAGGTCGCGCTTCCGGGTCATTCTATTATTCACCATTTTGCAGAAATCTTTTGGACAATTTTTTCCCTAAGCTTATAGTAGATTGTATAGAAATGCCTAAAACTAAGCTTTGTCTACGTTATATTTAAAAATAGACAATACACCTGTTCTTCCAATATTCACATGGTAACTAGTGTATAAATTGGGCTAACAACAATGCCCAAATAACCTCGTCTCTAGCAAGGTCCTAAGTTTACTTTAGTCTAAGTAGACATACCTGTAATTATTTACCCTGTCTTGTTGGTCTAGTTGTCGCGTACATTTTTGTCAGCAGATTGGGCAAACAGTTTTACTAGGTTTTCCTGTTAAGATGGCTTTGACAACTGCCCAGTGTTGCCACGTGGAAATTTGAACGTTTCAGCGTAGAGCATTTTCTTAGAATATATTTTAGTAACTAATTGACCTAAATAAAAGCTGAGAAGCAACGAATCGTTAATAGATATTTAATAATGTCCTTTGTTACAGAGCAACTTCATTAAGACATCGAAGTATTCGATCATAACGTTCCTGCCGCTGAATCTGTTGGAGCAGTTCCAGCGGCTGGCGAACTTCTACTTCTTGTGCCTGTTGGTGCTGCAGCTTATCCCGGCCATCTCATCGCTCACACCTATCACTACTGCGATACCACTGATCGGTGTACTTGCTCTCACTGCCGTCAAGGACGCGTACGACGATTTTGTAAGTACCATTAAATAAAACATTTTTACATACATCTTAGAATAAAAAAATACTAAGACGTCATTGCCCTGTCTGTCTGAATACTTCGCTGTATGTGTAAGCATATATTAAGTCTCCGAATAGTGGAGTTTTATAACCGGACACCCCAAAAAGGAACAGCCAAATTTGTCTAAGCCCAGATCCGACATTGATTTTCGCAATGCCATATACGCTATCTCTACCGCACCTTAACTGCAGTTGTTGTATGTACGTAATGGCTACAAGTACCTATATTGTTACACATATGTAAGTAACCTGTAAACTACAGTTTAATAGTCCATAATCGTACAAAGGCTCGCAGCAAACATCTGGCGAGCCAACTTTATATCCCGATGCGGTAATCGAACTCGAGCCGCGACGCTGCGTCATTTGGCTCGTTAAAATAATAACACGGATGTGTACTAAATTTCATATTTGATAGTTTGAACACTTTTAATGTTGTTACGAATTTTTTGAAATGATTTTTTCTTTATTTTTACCTAAGTAAAGCCGTAAACCAATTGAATGAAATAAATCCCATTTTATTAGGCAGCCTTGAGCGATGTTTCTCTTTATAATTCATAGGTCCTTCATTAAGGCTCTATTCCTTTCGCGTAATAACATATCATATTTTTAATGATATTTCAATTAATGTGGATCGTAATTTTACCTTAACTATCTTATCAAGGAAATTTCTAATCATCTTCATACAATAAAATATCACTCATAAATGAGTTATAAAACGAGAATTATATTTAAGAAATCGTCATTAGGTCACTATTACAGTGTTAATGAGTGTATGTAGGAGTAATCAAATAATAAACTGACTACGCATGCTGTCCTTGTCTAGGCACATTGTCGCTAATGCTCAGTGACCTATTATGTCATCTATTGTGGATCAAGGACGCAGACGTACTTAATTAGTGATCCGTGACAAAATGTGCATTAAATGAAATGATCATTTGATTTAATTAGCGATTATGATCGAATATAATCGGCAACCCCACGACCACCCGGGGTTGCGGGGTAAGTGCAATGAAGCACTGCAACCTCGGCCTAGAGCAGGAGAAGGAACGGGTTTTTTTAGTCAGTAAGAGTCTGACGCTCTCTCGCCTTACCCTGGGCGGGAGAAGACATTTGATGATTTTCCTTTGATAAAAAAAAAATCCTCCATTATCTTGTATATTCAAATTAATTCAATAGATTTACAACTGAAATTCCTAAATTATAATGAATCAACGTTTGACCGATTGGACTAGGTTAACCGGCTGTCGAGGGCGGGTCAGTAGATCTCGAACTAGAACATCATAACTTGATTTTCGGTAATCAATTATACAATCGAGATTATTGCTACGAGACTCGTCAATGTCAACTTTATTCTCAATATTCAGATTATCTTCGTAGAAATTATAATCACGTAGATACGTATAAGTGAACGCTCTTCAAATCAGTTTTCTTTTGATAAACTTGACGTGAAATCAATGAAGTCGAGGCACAAGCAACGTCTTTATACTCATATCTATAGTAGAGGTCTGAGGTCCTTTACGATCTTGATTTATGGCCATTGAGTTTTTATGTTTTTAACCTTGGAAATTATTATTAACCATGACACAATAGTTCAATCTGATACTATCAAATATTTTTAATATTTTCACCTTGTCACAACTTCACAAGACTTAGTTGTTTGAGAAATGATAATTTCCGTTAGACATTGAATGAACGCGTACGCGTTCTCGTGTTTGGGTAAATTGACTGCTCATTTATAAATAATTAAAGACCATGGCATGTGTAGAGTAACCATCGCTAATTTTAGCGAAACTCCTCAAGGCGTAATTTGTTAACGTTGCAACCATCATCGAAATAGCAAACACTGCTGAAACTCACAAGAAAACATCGGACCTAAAAAAATTGAAACCATTCATTTTATCAGAACCTTATGTGTAACATTTAAAGTTTTCTATCAATTTCCTGTAATTTATTTTTAAACTCGATTGTGATATTAAAGGAAGGTTAATGTTATCGTGAATTTTTAAACAAGTCTTGCATTTGTAGCACACTAACGGCCTTCGCATATTATCATGACCTTGTCTATGAATAGGCCCCTTTATATTCTTTGTTATTTTCCCACTAACGTGAGCAAATAAACCTTTTAATGGGTGAATTTAAGAGCTCTGACACAGTTTATATGTCAGCTCTGTAGATATACGCACTTCCGAAACACTTTCGCTCGACATTAATTACCTTTTTAACAAAAAAGTTTTTAAGTAGTACGAACACAGATTGTTACTTTGATTTGAGGGTCGAGCTAGAGTTGTTTTACTTTAACGTCCGGGAAACGGTAACGTCGAACGTTTTCATAGACTAGGTTCCAGTCTATATTTGAGTTTTTTCCTTACAATATCTACATATTCTATTTTCGAATATAAAAGTTTGTAACCTGTGTGTATCGTCAACTATGTGGCTAAGTATCGATTAACCAATAACTAAGTCTAAACTTAACCAAAATAGCAGTAAGCGAAGCTTTATCGTACCTATAGATAGCTTGTTGTATCACTGACAAGAGTGCCCTGGTTTTGAATCGGATTATGCACACAGAATCCCCTTGTGGAATAACATCTACCTACTGTATTTCTGATTGGATATACCTGCCAGTCCGTACTGATATTTCCTATTAAGCTGATGAGATTATGAAAGCGGTAATCTCGCGGATAGATTTGGATTTACAAAAAAAAAAAAAAAAAACAAAAATTAAATTTCTTTTCTTGATTTAAAAGAAGGTTGGAAGGCTATGTTTTTAATATCTAACATCGGGTAACAATTTTGGAAATCCAACACGCAAGTTTATTCTCATTTTCGAACTAGAACTTTAAAGCAACTACCCTAAGAGTGATGTTTTTTTGGCACTACATTAATATTATCAGTTGAACTGATCACTACTTTAATGGCTACTATATTTGTAATATATAATTTTATCCTGTTTACGGCAAGCGGGTTGAGTTTCTTTAGAAACTTTACTATAGTCACTACAGAAACTCGCGTGATTTTCCTTCTACGTGTAGGAAAAGTACAGCATACCGTGTAGCTTGCATTCCTTACATATTTCTATTAGATCTACGGTCGAACATCTGGTCATAAATACGCAATATCAGTCTACGCATCTGGCCTTTTTGAAGGACAATATATGGCCTTCTTTGGTGTATTGGTAACTTCACTAACATATTAAATTTACATTGAGAAGGTCGTAAGTTACAGTAGCTTCACATATGAAAACGCTTTAAGGTTAAGTTACCTTAACGTCTGAGGTAGGACTGCCAAATCATGGGTGCCAATTCTTTATGACTCGGGACAAGGTCCCTAGTGGTTAGAAGTTCGCATTAAATTCAGGTTCAGTACCTACCAACTGATACGCACGAGCGATATCCTTCGCTCCGTAGGTTGGGTTATGTTAGTCATTCCGAGTAAACTTCTTAAGAAAGGATTAGGAAGAAGGACCCAAAAGTATAGGCACCGAAGTTTTAAGACGAATCATACTACAGTACAAGTCAATGAAAAAAAAAAACACTCGAAAGCCTCTTCTAGCATCAGTCATCGTTGATCGTCACGGTGTCCAGTATGTTAATGTTGTTATGTTTTTTTCCAGCAACGTCATCAGAACGATTCACAAGTAAACCACAGGCGAGCGAAAACTCTGCGCAATGGCAAGCTTGTGGAGGAGAAGTGGGCGTCTGTTCAGGTGGGAGACGTCATCAGGCTGGAGAACGACCAGTTCGTCGCGGCGGACATTTTGCTCCTCAGCAGCTCGGAGCCCAACGGTCTCTGTTACATAGAGACTGCCGAGTTGGATGGGTCAGTTTATCTTATTTATTATTTGGGGTATCAGAACAACTACACAATAATAAGTAAACTGCACTTAATTACTTTTTTTATTCGAGCGCAATACCGACACTCACTCAGAAACTACAGCCGTTTTTTCAAGAGCACATGTAGTGCTATTGTTAGCAAAAATATGCTTTTGTAAGCATATTTTATTTTTTTAAATTTCATCAAAAATTTCCCGTCCTTTCAACAATGTAGCCGTATTATTATTATCGTACTATAGTAACGTATAAAGACAATATTCCAGTACAATTTTGTTTGTTTGGTTACAGGGAGACGAATTTGAAATGTCGTCAGTGCCTTTTAGAGACGGCTGCAATGGGGCAGGACGACGCACAACTGGGTGCTTTCGACGGTGAGATCGTCTGCGAAACACCCAATAATCTACTTAATAAGTTTGAAGGTAAGTTTCAAAATATAAAAACACCATGTTCATGTTAGTTACTGTTCAAAGTTATCCAGTATATTCAGAAGTATTTTTTTTTATTCTTTGTTTGGTGGTCGCTATGCCTAACGCACTTTCACTCGATGATTGGGCATATAATAATCATTTATGTTAAAATAATTATAATAAAAAACTACAACGAGACAAAAAACGTAGTTAAAGAAAAGAGATTCTTTCATAAACTTTATTCCTAATTACTCGTTGTTTTTGCTGATTATTCGTTTCAATACATTTGCGAAATGGTCTGTGGAAGCCGCACATTGTTGCCGCCTGATTAAGTAACTTTGAAATCGCTTGCCAATAGCAGACACCTAACCGTCTTATTACAAAGTACTTAGCAAGCAAATTCTTATGATTCTCAAATCCGCGATTAACCTTCCATGTGGATTACACAAACTTAATAAAAGTTTCTATGGTTTTGTAGGGAATTAAAACTGTACTTTGGGTCTTTTTGTGTAGTAAGCACTTTTGCGACTTGTGACGGTATTTGTCGCAAGTTCCCGTTTCCGTAATGAACACCTAATGAAATATTTGTGCGTTTATGTCAATAGAGTTTTCATTAATAATATTTTAAGTATTTGTTTAACCCTCGGCATGCACCCATGCACATACCACAGAAGCGAGTATAACTATGCGACCTCTGTGCAAACCGTGCCGCTACCATGATTTTTGTCACGTTTCAAATTTTAAACAATCACAAAACGTGATTTGTGATATAAACTTTACAAGTTTCATTTTACAAGTTTTCCTCGTATTTTAGTTAGCATTTCCTCGTAAGATGTTAGATAGCGCAGTATTGATTTTGTAAGTATTATATGATTGAAGATAAAGAAATATAGCTGAATCGACATATGTATGTATGTGCACATAAAATGTTGACGCTCACTATTCTTGTCCCACCCCTTACTAGCCTATAAGTGCCCTCTGCTAAGCAAATGTCGCTTCTCACAGGCAGAAGGAGTAAACATTAATCACAATGCTTACCCAAGAAGGATTGGTGACTCCGAACTTATAGGTCCAGGTTTCCTCACAATGTTTTCTTCACCGTGAGCAAGTGTGACTTGTTTTGGAGTAATATGTACTTTTTAGAATAATTAATATATGCATATAAAACAAAATGCTATTTTCCTTGTCAAAATGGTTCTACCGACTATCCAGAAATGGTCATATTTCTAAAATTAAAGAAAGTTGCCTGCAACAAATATTTGTATTCGTTGTTGATTCCCCATTATTTGTTATTAATTAATAAATAAATATTGGACCCCATCTTATTATATTCTGTCAGGTACAAAATTCCTTGACCACGATCAATTTTGAAGCTGAAAAACGGTTTTATTTTCTCGGAGCAGGTCATGTAATGTGATCGCCGGTTGCAATACGGGCAATAAAGCACTTTATCATATTGATGGATGGAATCTAAATCGAGTGTTTGTACTTGAACGTGTGAATCATACGGTCTTGGGTTATTCGCTGTCAGTGACACAGTTTAATTATTATTATTATCTGTACTTGTAGTACATTTTCTTCTCTTTATCTTAATTGCTTACAACTAATTATTTGTGTAACAATTGTTTAGTTGACTTGTTATTAATTGTTTGTATAAGATGTATTAGTATATTGTTAACTACTTTTTCAAGGGCTTATCATAGAGAATAAGTTATCTTCCTACGCTATCGAATGGTTTTCTATTTCAAAGCGGTTACCGAATTTAATTTAACTTTTAATTTAAATTTAAATTTAACTTTAAAATGTAATATTCTATCAGCCATTTATCTATGCAAATAAATGTTACTCGCACTCAGTATTTATAAATAGGTTTTAGATAATAGAAAGCCAATTATTGTAATTGCGTTGCCACCCAGTGGTACTTTGTGTGCAAAATTTAGTAATAACTCTTCTAGTCGTTTCTCAATTCATTTGGGATTTGGTTGTCCTTGAATTGGCTTGATCACGCACATTTTAAACGTCCATATTTTTCTAGGGATAGAGATCTTCCCTTCGCAACCCCAAGAGGAACATTTTGAAGTACTTAATGGCCTAGTTGATATTTATGTGTACTGAAAAAGTTGATTTAAAATTTTAATTAAAAAATTGCCTTCATAAAAATCAGCTTTTGTTAGATGGGGCAATAACGCCCGCGACTAGACCCTTTGGAGACATGTTTATGTATTAAGAGAAACCATATATTAGTCAGGCTAGCGAACTTATTTTCAGCTCAATCGGTTCACAGATATACTTAGGTATAAACGGACATGCATAGCCAGTTAAATAAAAACATGTAAAACGTAACCAGCTTTAGCAGAGTCCACAGAGAGACCAAATAAAACATGTGAGATGATTTTTATGGTTTAATTGATCTCTACACATTACTCTTGGACAAACAAGGAACCTATTAGGGAAACATGTATTATTTTACAAAAGGTTTTTAGTTAAAATTAATTGGCACGTAAATACTGTTTTAACTTAAACATCTCATTGTATGATTAATAAAAAGTATTTATATATATAATTAAAATAGTAATAATATTTTGTTAAAAACCATTAATAGGATCGTTCGGCCCATTAGGACAATTAATAGAAGTACCTTTTTGTTGTTTTTATTCGAAAACATTTTACGATCGGATTTCTTCGATATTGTTTTTTAACCAACTTCAAAAGTGTATTTATTGAACACCACTGAAAAGTACTCAACCTAACGCGATTGAACCCGAAGACGTTTACTCAATACTAGAAATAACAACGTCTATATGACTTCACATAGTAATAGAAAATAAGCTTGAACATAAGATCTCGGTTGAATAAACATAGCAGTCGATCGCTTGCCCCGTCGATCACCTCACCCCCGCGCTATCACTTCGATTATGACGTCATAACTGGCGACCATACGACTTCACTGTCGTTCAATACCATAGATATTTGATTACGGTAGTCTTATGAACTGTGAAAATGTTTTCAATAAGTCTTTCAAAAGATTTATCTGTTATATCCTTATTACTTTATTAAAAGCTTTTAGAAATCGTGACATATCTAGGCTAAGAATCATGGTATACTTTGGAGTGACCACCTACCGTACCTAATAGAATGTCGTCTTTATTTTATTGCAATAGTGTTTAATTTTGCAATAGTGTTTAAAGTCCTCTGTACTCTTCATTTTCTATATAAGATTTCCGCATCTACAGAACAGCGACTGTGGTTGTTATTTTCTTAACAATAAGGTTCTTATCTTTTTGCAGGTACGCTGAGCTGGCGCAACCAGCATTTCTCTCTAGACAACGACAAGATCCTACTGCGTGGCTGTGTACTACGCAACACGCAGTGGTGTTATGGCGTTGTCGTGTTCGCCGGGAAAGACACCAAACTCATGCAGAACTCCGGCAAGACCAAATTCAAGCGCACCAGCATAGATAGGCTACTTAATTTTCTTATTATAGGGGTAAGTCGTTAATACATGTGTAAAATACATGTGTGAATTTATAATTCAGCAGAAGTATACGTAAAAATCAAAATTCTGCTTGCATTTTTATGTCATGTACATATTGCGCAAACAGTTTCATGTTATGCGCAATATTGTTAGGCGCATTTTAACGCAAATTAAGGCAAACTATATCTTGCTATCCCTTTGGATCTTATGTTTTAAAAACCAAAAGTTGCACATTATAGGCTTTTTAAAGTGATAATTTATTAGGTATTCTATGAATTAAAGATCGTTTTATCGTTTCACAGATAGTATTCTTCTTGCTATCGATGTGCGTGTTCTGCACGGTGGCTTGTGGCGTATGGGAGTGGCTGGTGGGGCGCTACTTCCAGGCGTACCTGCCTTGGGACACGCTGGTCCCAGCCGAGCCCACCTGGGGAGCCCTCGTCATCGCCCTGCTCGTCTTCTTCTCATACGCCATCGTAATGAACACTGTCGTGCCTATATCGCTCTATGTCTCTGTAGAGGTTAGTGTCAATTATTATTTGTCTAATAAAATAATAGCGTTCATGATAAAAGTCATTAGGTATCATGCAGTATTTCGCGGCTTACTATAAAGTATATAATACATTAAAAACATTTTAGTCCATACACGGAAATATAACAACAACTTTAATATAATTTTGTGTCTGACAATCAATATTTTGAACTTTATACAAATGACACATACTCTATATACAACACACAAATAATTATTGGTGTATTTATTAAATTATGTAACTTAATTGACCACTAACACAGAACATCATATTTTCCTGTTATTTATAGGTAATAAGGTTTGCCCAGAGTTTCCTCATAAACTGGGACGAGAAAATGTATTACGAAAAGACTGGTACAGCGGCAAAGGCGCGAACTACCACTTTAAATGAGGAACTCGGTAAGTGTTATTGATTTACTTTATATCATCCAATTATTTCTTGTAAACTTAATAATCATAAAGAAGCAATATAAGTAATAAAGATGAAGCATAGCAACGCGCAAAACCTTTGCGCTATATTTTGCGCAACACCTTTGCTCTATATTTCGCGCAGAACCTTTGCGTAACTTTGATTCACCTAATGGAAATTTTGATGAATATTATTCTTTCCAGGCCAGATCCAGTACATATTCTCAGATAAAACGGGCACTCTCACTCAGAACATAATGACGTTCAACAAGTGTTCGATAGCAGGCGTTTGCTATGGAGACGTCGTGGACGAAACCACCGGTGAAACTATAGACCTCGCCGAGGTACGTCATGTACGTTCAATTCCATACCGAGCCACGGACCAAGTACCCACTTTCAAAATTATTTATTGAACAGCACATGCTCTAGACCATAGTCCATAGACACAATGCATGTAGGATATGCAGTCTGTATAAAGTATCACTAAGCACTTCAATTTGAACAAGACTCGCACGAACAGAATACATCTTTTGTTTTGCATGTTTGACTTTGGTTTTCAAAATAGTAGGTACTTTGAACTTGAAGTTTTGTACTGTAAATGATAAAATTGTCCACGTTTGCTCACGCTTTGGGGTTATGTGAACTGTTTGAATTTTATTGTTATGTCATACTGTTTGTGTTTGTTTTCAGTTAGTTTGTCGATTTTATACATAGTTCCACACCTCAGTATCATGTTTGTGTTATAATATATTCTCTACTTGTTTTAATATTTCAATTGTAATCGAACATACCAAGCGCCTCACTAGATCCTTAGATTTTGTTTGAGATTTATTTGCATGGTCACACACATCAGTGGTGCAGTATCGACTGTGTCTTGCAGACATGAACACATAATGGGGAACATTTAACATTATTAGACCGCAATTCATAGAGTTTTAAAAACATAAACCCATTAATTATGATAGTAATTTCATGAAGTGGAAATGGTTCGCGACTGGATCTCAAAATATTGACAAAATAATTGCAATAGCTGCACGTTTAGTCGTATACCGAGAAGTCAGTACGTGATGGAGTAGGTTAGGTAGGCAGTGTAGGGTGGAGTGTGATTGTGTGTGGTGACGCAGCGGCACCGCGGCGGCGCGGGCGCAGGGGGCGGGGCCAGCGGGGGCGGGGCCGGCGGGGGCGGGGCGCGGGGAGCGGCGCGCGCGCGCCTGCTGGAGCTGGAGCAGGACGCGGGCCGCAGCACGCCCGGCGGCCGGCGCCCGCGCGTACGCAGCTGCCCAGCTACTCGTAACTCTGCCCGCGATAACGCCCTGCGTGACTCTCTACTAGCGCCGCTGCTCCGCTGCTAATACGACAGCTCCCCTATCGAATGACTGCCCCGCTAATCATGCCTGTTTCGCACGCCCTGCTGGTGTGCATATTTGCTCTGCAATACCAGTTTTGCCTCTATCATGCAAAATAAAGATTCAATTTCTTCCTATTTACCTAGGCCGTGCGCTGTATGTAAAAGTAGCTAACGTTATTAGCTTGAGCGCTGATCGTTCCCATATCATGTTCGAAGCACCAAGCTCCGCTAGTACTTTTGATCGTTATCCAAAGCGACTTTCAACAGACATAAATGTGTGGACGCAATCGCGACATCATTTTTCAGTCATAAGCTTTGTGTAGACTGTAGACCCTATCATCATAGAAATAAAGTTCATTATATGTTAGTGTTAGCGTTATAATGCAAATACTTTACAGCGCACGGTCATGCGCACCCAAACAAAAGGGGGCGTGCGGAACATAAAAAAAATAATCAAAAATCTCGCTTAACTAAATGTCATTTAGTGCTTGGATATGATTGGAAGCATATCTGGTCGATGTTCTATATTGTCGGTGGTCGTATTTGGGGCGGGCAGCGGTCTTGGCGCCTATATTTACAGTCCTATCCCCTCCCTTTCTGAATGTCTCTTTAAAAATTCTGGAATGTTCTCAAGCTAACCCACACAAGTGAAGTAGCAAGCCACTACTTGAGACTCGCTCCCGCACTATCTACGAACTAGGCCTTATGTCTTCTTCTTTTTTTTACTTCTTCTAGACATCTCTAGCTTGGCAAAATTAACAAAATGTTTCCGACTTTAATAATATAAAATAAAGTTTTTAATTAATGTGGAAATATTAAAAATAGCTTACTTCCAAACTGTATAAACTAAACAAATATTTGTGATATGAAATGGTTTAAACGATAATAATAATAAATTCTCTTGGGCTCTTTTTATGTAATGTTTCCCTACACACAAACTACTAATAATGTAAAAATTGTATGTATGTATGTCCTTGTCCATATGTAATTAACCAATGGTGTTTTTATATGCATGTTTGCTTCGCATCGTGTGTTTGTTGTTTATGCTTTAACACTATTAACATTGTGTAGAACCACAGACAAATCTACGATAAAAAACTCTATAAAAAATAATTGAATAATGAGGAAGGCAACACAGAATCACTGGCAACACCTTTTATAACACTTCACTTCTATAACATGTTACTAGCACAATGTATTGATTACATTCAGTTACTCTTTCACGAAGTTTTTTTTTGTCATTTTTAGAAACTAGCCAAACTTTTCCACGTATTTTACTGAACATATTTTTATAGAACTTGTTAAATATAGTTTGATCTCTGTAAAGTTATATGGTTCTATATGTAGTTGATACTCTGGACTTATATTTTTTGCTATAAATTACTTTAGTTACCAGCAATCAGCGTCTTGATATAAAGTCTTATAAAAAAGTTTCTGGTAATGCAATTATCCCATATCTTAATTAATTTAATAAAGTAATTTCAGGTTAGCAAGAAATTAGCATTAACATCAGTAAAATTAAATTTGATTGGTTTATTCTCAACACCAAAGAGATCAAGCTATGTTTTACCGAAACAATAAACGATCTCATTTCTGCAGTTGCTTTTCTCATTCCATTTTCGAAATCAAAAAAGAAAACCGTAGATTTGTTGCCATAGTCAAACTTTTGTGGTAATAATTGAGTGTTTTATGTATAACAGAGCTCGGAGCCTTTGGACTTCTCGTTTAACCCTGAATACGAGCCGGAGTTCAAGTTCTTCGACAGCACCCTCCTGGATGCAGTGAAGAGAGGCGACAAGAATGTCCACGACTTCTTTCGTCTGCTCGCGCTGTGTCACACGGTTATGCCCGACCAGAAGAACGGCAGGCTTGAATACCAGGTAAGAATATAGCGTTCAAGAAATACTTTAAAAACATTGTGCATGCGAAATTACCTCAACCGACTTCTAATCTTCTAAAAGAGTGGCTACCTTAGTCCTGTGTTGCGAGTGTTCACGGGCGACGCTGATCACTTAGCATATGATGGTAATTCATCAATGGGTTTATCAGTCGTTACCCAAAAAAATATAACCACGAACAGGGACCAACCCACGATCCCTCCCGATCTCATTCCTTAAAACACTTAATACTCCCCGGTAAGGACGGCGCCGGTTGCTTTTCTTTGGTTAATCCCTCGGCTCGTTTGCCGACTTCACATCTCACTAAAAAACCCCATCCACTATCGGAAATTGCATATAAAAAGTAGTTTTTGTTTATTCCGCCACCAGTCATACTAAACAACAGATTCAGTATTTTTTACGGATACTGTGAAAGAAACCAGTGCTTTAGATTTGCCTACACCTATGCCTTAATATATCTAATTTAACAATAATTATAATTTCAGGCACAATCGCCCGACGAGTCTGCCCTGGTTTCAGCAGCAAGAAATTTTGGTTTCGTGTTCAGAGAACGCTCGCCTAATAGTATTACAATAGAAGTAATGGGTAAAACAGAGGTATGTATGGCCTTCATAAACTTTTTGAGTTTTCAACTGATATTATAAACATTTTGTTAATTGTTCTCTTTTTGTTTCAGGTGTATGAATTGTTATGTATATTAGATTTTAATAATGTTAGGAAAAGAATGTCCGTGATATTGAGGAAGGATGGTGAAATTAGGTTATATACAAAAGGTGCTGATAATGTAATATATGACAGATTAAAAAGTGGAAGTCAAACAGATGTAAAGTCAAAGACACAGGAACATTTAAATGTAAGTATCTTCTCATACATTATATTTAACTACATAAATACAGCGATGATAACGTTCAAACTGCTTTGCGATTATTTTAGTCAAAGATTTTTATTTATGCCTTCCAGATTATATTTAATAATGATAATAAAGAAATAAATATAGTATACTCTTGTAATAGATATAAGAGGTAGCTTAATTAGAGTACAGACCGACAGACTGACACACAAACTTTTTGATATTTATTTTTTGCTTGACGTTCAAAAGTACCTGTTTTTAGTAGAAATTTATTTCAAATGTGTGTCAAGATTTGTTTAAGTCAAGCCATTTATTTACATAATACATGGTAGCCAACAAGATGCTCAATAGTGTGTACAGCATGTTTTGCTGTGGCAGACGGCATGCAAAAATAATATTGCACAAGATAAATTAATATAAATTAAAAATTAATTAAAAGAAAGATAACTTTTGATTTTGACTTTGAGTAACAATAGAATTTGTCCACCAGAAATTTGCGGGCGAAGGTCTGCGTACGCTGGCGCTGGCGTGGCGCCCGCTGGAGGAGCGCGGGTTCGCCGAGTGGAAGCGCAGGCACCACGCCGCCGCGCTCGCCCTGCACGACAGGGACGAACAGCTCGACGCCATCTACGAGGAGATCGAGACCGACCTACTGCTCATGGGTAACTCATTTATTTTTATGTCATGCTAGCGGTCGTCCGCGTGGATGTTGACTTTACACTTTATCAAGATTTTTTTAAGTTTTCTCTTAGTACAAACCTTTTCTGGACTTCCACGAATAATTCAAGATCAAAATTAGCCAAATCGGTAAAGGCATCGTTGAATAATAACATTACAACGAAAAGTGGTATTGATTTTTATAGAATAGGACGGCAAACGAGCAGGCGGATTTCCTGATAGTAAGCAATCAGCCCCGCCCATGGACACCTGCAACAACAGAGGAGTTACGAGTGCGTTTCCGACGTTTTGGTGATTAGGAGATTTAAGGATTAGGGAGGGATTGGAGGAGAAGAAGGATTGGGCCTCCGGTAACCTCACTTACACGGCGAAACACCACATTGTGGGGCCGTGTGCCGCCGGCATTAAGTACGCCTTTAGTAGTAGGTGTCATTCGTACCTAAGCATGGCTCTTCCACACGTACTCCCTCTACTCTTTATCTCTTGTACACTACTCCCTCTACTGAATCGTCGACAGACAAGACATTCAACTGACAACTGCACGGTCGACGCGGTGACTGGGCAACTGACTGCAGCACAGCGTCTCGTGGGTTGGAATCCCGCACGGAAAGACTCTTTCTTGATCCATAAATTATTGTTCCGGGCCTTCTTGAGTGGTAATAGTTGCCCACGTGAAGTCTTTTGTCTTACTTTGAAATGTAAACATCTGTCTTTTGTTTGCAGGCGTAACAGCAATAGAAGACAAATTACAAGACGGTGTACCAGAAACAATAGCGAATCTCAGTATGGCCGGCATCAAGGTGTGGGTCTTAACCGGCGACAAACAAGGTAAATATTATACGAGTAGACATGTAAAACAACTCATTGTCAATTGATGAGTGATGCGTCCTAACCTCTTGTCTGCCGGTATATGACAAACTACTAATCTCGCGCGGCTTCACCCTCTGTTCAGCTCCATTTGTGATGTTTTATAGCCTATAGCTCTCAGTAACATTGTAGCTATCTACCAGTGAAAGAATTTTGGCAATCCGACTTACGGTTCCAAAGATTATCCCCTACATACAAACTTACAAATTTTACCTCTTTATAATATTACTATAGATAAAACGCCATATATTGTATTAATATAGTTTATCATATTGTACGTTATATTTGTATAGTAACGTCGCCCCGGACTCTTCGACGTCGCGCAACTGTCAGTATAAGCCGTCGTTCATGATTATGAGTCCCGTTGTGACTTGAAAGTGGTTGAACGATAGGTACTGAAACTACTTCCTTTTTTTGTATATTTTTCATAAAATATTTATTACAGAAACAGCGATAAACATCGGCTACTCGTGTCAGCTGCTGACGGACGATATGGCGGAGGTGTTCGTCATAGACGGAGTCTCCTACGACGACGTAGACCGACAGCTCGCCAAGTGCCGGGACAGTATACGAGTCGTCAACACATTCATGCCTCACGGTAACATACCTTGATATCTATTATATGGACTATTCATATAACTTACTTAATATTATAAATGCGAAAGTTACGATGTTTGTATTTTTGATGTTTGTTACTCAATCACGCCAAAACGGCTAGACGGATCTGGATGAAATTTGGCACAGGCATAGGATACACTCCGGAATAGGAAATAGACTTTTTTTCAACTTACCACACGGGCAAATCCGCGGGCCATAGCTTTTCTAATAATAAAATGATAAATAATAAAAGGTCGACTAAGGGGAATGCCATATGGCATAAATCCGTCTTTAGTACCAACTTCGTGTCATTGTATGCTCATTAAAGTTTTAAATAAAGATTGAATATAAGTACCAATAAAAATAAATAATTACCATTTTGTTGACTCTAATTGGTTGAGAGATCCTAAAAAAAGATATCATATATTCAGTGTAAGGATTGCCTTGATAGCCATTTTTCTTCTACCTTATTTTTAGATTTGTATTTGTGTACTTTAAAAGATTGGTGTCAGTACAGTAAAGTATATTCTACTGATATCATTAACGCGAAGTTTGTAAGTATTGACGGATGTCTGATAGTTACTGCTTCACATAAAAGTGGAGCTTTCACATGGACTTGATGAAAATTGGCATATAAATAGGACTATATTAACCCGTAAGCTACTTTTCATCTAGATAACGCGGCCGTAGGGAGAAAAAGTAGTAATAGAATATTAGTCTAATTAGCCTAGCCGTTAACAGAGTAATGGCTCGACAATAGCAACTAATTACTACTCAACCGCTAAATGTGATAACGTTTCAATTAGATCGTCAGCTCGTTGAGCGACGTGCAAACTCAGATTGATTTATTGTCACTTGTTACTTTTATGAGAGTACAGTATGGAATAGAAGACGATTTATTTGTAAAAGGAAACCTCAAGTATAATTATATCTAAGCCGGGGTAGCGGGGCTAGCGCAATAAGGTTCCGCGGCTTCGGCTTAGAGCAGGAGCAGGAACAGGGGTTTTTAGTCAGTAAGAGTCTGACACTCTCGCCTCACCCTGGGCGAGAGAAGTGATTGGATGATTTTCCTATCATAAAAAAGTTATTACTTCTAGCCTGTCTTATATACTTATCAATATTTCTGCTTACTTGAGAGACTTCTTTGGGTAATTCGAGTTATGAAATTAACACAGTGGTATTAGGTTAATAATATCAGATCTAACCAGTGGTTAGGTATGCTATTGAACTCGCCATACAGGACACGTTACCTTTAAAACTCAGAAACACCTAATATTGTGTTACCAAAACTTCAATAAAGCTATTAAGCTGTTATTTTTCCAATTTTTTTGTGGAAGAAACGTAACCCAATATCGTTTTCCCAATCCTCAAATCCTTTAACAAGCCCCAAAATACATTTTTAACTCTTCAGGACTTGATGACGATTGTCGATGATGACGCTGATTACCGACCATCATGTGATCCGTCGATTCGTTTGCCGCATCAAATACATTGAAAATATTAACAAAAAAAAAACTGAGGAGCTATGCCACAGCAACCCCTATAACACCCCTCTTTTTGCGTCGGGAGTTAATAAAGGTAAACTTTTTTGCACAGGTTCATCAGAGGCGAAGTCCCCGGGCGAGGCAAACGGCGGCGCGGGCGTGTCGCGCGCGTCCCCCGGGCGCGCCAACGTGAAGCTGAACGCGCCCGCCGTGTCCGTCGTGACATTTAGGTGGGGACATAACTCTCGCACTCACTGCAGGTAGACAGACACACGCCCTACCTACCGCACCCACGCACCCGCACTGCTAGCTCTATACACTCTCTCTACTCTGTGTACGCTACTTGTGCCACGTCTGTCCTCCTTACCTAACCTAATCATTTAAATCTATATACAACAGCGATGTTTCCATACACTCTAGTTCTGATCCTTTTTAAAAACGTCAGAACTATCAATTGTTCATGGTTTTTACCACAATGTAAGTCATAACTTCGTTATTCTTGTGCGTAAATACTATTTGTTAGTGTGTTTGGCAAATATGGAAACTGATATGTACTTAGTTTTCCTAACCCTTTTGTCAAATCTACTGATATGAGTAAAATGTGATTATTTTCAAATACATTGAAAAGTCTAAAAGTTAATATTTTAATGAGGGATAACACCCCAATGTTTAAGTACATGTACTTGTTCGTTCTATTTATTCATGTAGAAATCAATTTGATAAAATAGTAATAATAATACTGAGTTATTAGGCATATATAAATTTTTGTACTGTTTTATTGACAAACTTATGAAAAAGCTTTCAATGTGCTTAAGCCGCGCTTCATTATGTCAAATGTGAACGCTATTAATGGTGTTTGTGTGGCTTTAGCTGTGAAAAGAACTGTAAAAACGAGATATATATTAAACAGGATCTGATTAACCTCTTCAATGATTTATTAACTAACAAAGTTTTTGTAACTAAATTGTCCGACTTCCTTACTAATATAGCGGTAGATCTATCCACACGTATGTCTGTCTGTACACCAAGCCAGAGTGCTCCTTCTTTAATCTTTATCTATAGAAACCAACACCTAGTGTAGTACCATAGATTTCACGAAATATACATAACTACTGTAAAATTCATTTCACAATAACAGGCATTAGACAGGGTGCAATTAAGAGTGTATTTTATCTGTCAGTTGAATAGGAAAAGTTATAAGACACATTTTTTGTTTTGTTAAAGTAAGAAAAGCTCAACATTTTCACCTGATGGTATTATTAAGCAACTAACAGCACCTGAGAAATGCATTGTCGACCTTTTTGGAGTGGCTAAGGATTTGAGGGGTGGGGAATGAGGTCGCAGGGGAATGAGGTCGCAGGGGAAGCAATGTCTCTCGTAGTAGTGGTCTCGCTTCATCATAATATGTTAATTTGCCATATTTCTGTCATCCTGTCATATTTGAAATCTTTATATCCTTATAAAGAATTCAATTCAAAAAAATATATAAATGTGTCTTATATTTTTTAACATCCAGACGGACTTAATATTTACCCAGTTGCCACCCCTACAGTAAATACAGCAATTTAATTTAAAACAAAATTTCTTTGATCAATTTTCAAATCTGTACCTAAGACTATATGGTTTAAAATATCTTAAAAGAAATACAAAAGGTACATTGATGTGCTAGAATTTATAAATTTTGTGTGCATTTGTTCTGTGAGCAATGTGAACCGTCTATTTTGTGTTCTGTGTCTTCATGTCGTGTGATTTCTAACTCGAATTATGTGCATTTACGAATTTTGAAAATGGATCGTCCATGTCCGAAGTTTTTATAATTGGATATATTGTAAATGAACATAATTGGAGATAATATAATATTGATTATTTTAAAGAAAAAAATATTGCTTTAGAAAGAAAGTTACTTTTAAACCTATATCCCCTTATTACAAAACAAGATTTATCTTTAGTCCAGGTTTAAACCATTGAGTCGGGTTTTGAATTTTGAACCTTATTGTCGTCTACCTTCAATTCGAAATACAAAAACTTGCTCAATGGTTTAGTCCTAGACTAAAGTAAAACCTTGTTTTGTAGTAAGGCCGATAGTTTTGTAGTAAGGCCGGAGTGCCTATTTTGAAATGAAATTGATATCTGATTCAAATCTTTTGTAGTTTGATTAACACAAAAAAGTTTAACTTGAGAATAATGTGGCATAATATATTTACTGAACAACTAAAATTTTTACCTGGCGTTCTTTTTCAAAATTACTACTTTTGGCCTTAATAATAATTTCCTTAATAATGGGTACTATTTTATCCACTTCAAATCGATACTAATTACATAATTAGTAATATTTTTATTGAAAAACGCCTAACAATATATAAAATGTTAACGCAAGCTGTATGACTGTAGTGAGCCAGACTGTTACAGCAACGAGTACGTGTCCGGTGGCGCCCCCTACACGGCAGACTCGCACGACCACAACGACGACACGAACGGTTTCGCCATCGTCATCAATGGACACTCGCTCGTACACTGCCTGCATCCTAAACTTGAGGAGAAGTGAGTACATACATACAGGTTTTTTAACCGGATTTCTGGTTATAATATAAATGGAGTTGAAGTCAACATTTTTGTGTTTCCATGTTAATTTAAGGGTGATTGGAATAATGATGATGAAAGTCGCAGAAATAGTAGGGCGACAACTGCACGTTAATTACACTTCAAATTAATAAAAATGTATATCTTCTTTCTTGAGGTGATTGGAATTTCTTTCGTTTTCTTTTACTAGAAATAGCTTTAAATTTGTAAATTAATAATAATTAACTTACCTAAGTATGAAAACCTAAACTTATATATATAAATTTTACATCGGTAGAAGATCAGAAAAGATGACTAGAGTGTGTGTATAACATAATATATAGTTTTCAGGAAAATAGCAATACCTAAGTACATACGAATGACTTTTACCTAAATTGAAAATGGAAAGTTTTCACAATTTAAATGTTATTTTTTTCAGATTCTTAGATGTAGTATTACAATGTCGATCAGTGATCTGTTGTCGAGTGACGCCATTGCAGAAAGCAATGGTGGTAGAACTCATTAAGAAGAGTCGGAAAGCCGTCACATTAGCCATCGGGGACGGCGCCAACGACGTCTCTATGATCAAAGGTAAACTTTGTGTTTAAAATTAAAATTTCGAACTTTATGTCCCAAAAAACTCTATAAGTCCACATTCGTCACATTCAACATGGTATAGTGTTATTAGTGAAAATAATAAATGAACAGTCACTTTATCAGCATTTTTGTTATGCATTCTCTCGTATACATATGAACTAAACCATGGGCATATTCCATTCTATGCTGAGAATGTTGCAATAGAAAATCTAACATGCTCGGCAATCGCTTCAATGAGAAAACTTAACAAACTCAAATTAATACGGGAAAGTAATCAAAAAAATGATCCTATAAAAAAATCCGATTATTAGCATATTTTCTCTCACTCACAGCCTGGTTAGCTCTGGCTCCCCCTTTTTTCATGGCGCCCGGTGTGGTCGCATCGCTTGTACAGCCTTAGAACTGCTCAGCTGATAATGACAATAATAATCAATCCTGTTCTTAATCCTCTAGCGGCCCACATAGGCGTGGGTATATCGGGGCAGGAGGGCATGCAAGCAGTGTTGGCCTCCGACTACTCCATAGCGCAGTTCCGGTTCCTGCAGCGTCTACTGTTAGTGCACGGTCGCTGGTCCTACTACAGGATGTGCAAGTTCCTGCGATATTTCTTCTACAAGAACTTCGCCTTCACCGTCTGTCATTTCTGGTTCGCGTTCTTCTGCGGATTTAGTGCGCAGGTTTGTATTATTTGATTATGCTTTCTTCGGTCGTGGTACGCTTTTTTATAAAAATTGACCTGATTAGTGTTTAGTTCTTAAATTGTTTTTTTTTTAACAAAGGATATTTATTAGATCTTATTCCCCAACCACTTTTTATAAATTGCTCGAGATTAAGCCTACTAAGACGACACCACTCTGTTTTGATTTGTTAGTTGAACAAAATAGCAGCTAAATACCAATTATTTTTAATTTTGTTTTGTAGACGGTGTTCGACGAGATGTTCATCTCAGTGTACAACCTGTTCTACACGTCGCTGCCAGTGCTGGCGCTGGGCGTGTTCGAGCAGGACGTGGCCGACACCACGTCGCTGCAGTTCCCCAAGCTGTACGCGCCCGGACACACCAGCCAGCTCTTCAACAAGACAGAGTTCATCAAGTCCACGCTGCATGGGTGCTTCACCTCGCTCGTGCTCTTCTTGATACCTTACGGTCAGCTCTAGCTCTCTGACTTACGTATACAACTGATGTTTGTTGTGGTGTTTGCATTGCGAGTCCGGCCATTCTAGAAATATGACACACATAGTAAAATCATATAATATAATTTCAGGTACATACAAAGATGGTCTGGCGCCTAATGGATTGATTCTGTCAGATCACATGTTACTAGGAACTGTAGTAGCAACAATATTAATTATAGACAATACAACACAGGTAATTTTATACTCATAGAAATATATTTGTAAATGGTTTAATTATTGGTAAACTAATATTTTTATGTGATTTCAGATAGCCTTGGATACGACATATTGGACAGTGTTCAACCATATAACGATATGGGGATCACTGGTGTCGTACTTCGTTCTAGATTATTTCTACAATTACGCGATCGGCGGCCCGTACGTCGGCTCGCTGACGGTCGCGCTGACGCAGGCCACCTTCTGGTTCACCGCCGTCCTCACCGTGAGTATAGCTAGCGACGCGCGCTACCGGAGCGGAGCGGAGCGGGCAGTGAGAGCGCGTGTGTTGCAGATGATCATCCTGATGGTGCCGGTGGTGTCGTGGCGCCTGGCGTGCTCGTGGACGCGGCCCACGCTGGCCGAGCGGCTGCGCGCGCGCCAGCGCTGGCGGGCCGCCGCGCCCGCGCCGCGCACGCCGTCCGCGCGCCGCGCGCGCCGCTCCGTGCGCTCGGGGTACGCCTTCGCGCACCAGGAGGGCTTCGGCCGCCTCATCACGTCGGGCAAGATCATGCGCCGCATCCCGCACGCGGACGCGGCGCTGTCGGCGCTGGCGTCGCTGCCCGGCAAGTTCCACGCGCGCCCCGAGCCGCCCGCCAGCCCGGGCCCCGCGGCCCCGGGCCCCTCGCCCCCGGGCCCCGCGCGGGCCCCGACGCAGAACCTGGCGACGGTGGACTTATGAGTGCGCCCGGCGCCGCGCGCGCCCCCCATTGTGATAACGTCGGTAGAGTTAAACTTCGTATTGTCCTACTATTGCCTATTGAATTATATTTGTTGATCGAGATTATATATTGATAGATATTTATGGCGGCCCGCGGAGGGTCGCTCGTGCGACTCCGTTGTTTTTTACTCGTGTCGTTTCGTTCGTTGAGTTTGTCGGTCCGGGCGTCCGGTCCCGGGGAAATGTGCATTTAGACGAGCCGTCGATATCGCCGGCAGTGAAAACGCGACATGACTTGTATTATTAATATTATTTTCAGAACGTTATGTTAGTGCCAAAGGAGAATGAACAACAGTTGAACTGTCTATAAATGTTTAGAATATTTATGTCAGAATGTTTCTATTCAATCAAAATGTTGTTGTTATATTTTGCCATAATCAAAATTCAAAAAATAATAATGTTTGTTTTGTCAACCTTGTAATTGTTAAAATATCTACTCTGATTATGTACTTAGGACATCTTACATAAAAGTATTAATTTATAATAAAATACGATGAATCTACGTAATATATGTAAATCAAAAAGATTGTAAAATAAAAACATGTAGCGTTTTAACTGCATGTGAATATTATGATCAACATTTGCTTTGGAATCAGTTTTTTAATAAAAAAATAATAATTCTTAAAACCGTTTTTATTTCCTTAATACCTGAAAATGTGGAACACCCAGTCTACAATTTCGATCCGATCCCAATGATGTATAGGCTACTAGCTCATCATCATCAGCCCGTTTCCTGACCCTGTCAACCGCAAGTTACTGGGCTCGAAGTTCATGAACTCCGACAATTTTAGTTCTTTGTAGGATTACCGCGTTTCAAATTAGATCCTTCAAAGAGATTCCCATACAACTTAGCCACTCCCATAGCTTGCGGCATGACTTTGAATCGGTGGATTCTCTGCGAAGAATCTGACACCCCCTCTCGCCTCACCCTGTGCCAAAGAAATAAATAGACAATACGGTAGTTTCCAACTAGTCAAATTCGCTACTTTTATACAAATGTCAAAAACGATACTTTTCTATGAAATTTGTATGAAACACTGAGTTATGACGTCATAGTATTTTTGCGTCAATAGCGTACTTATTTCTTAAAAATTAGCCAAAAAATGTCTAAAATTTAGTGTAGGTATCGACAGATCGATGAATAAAAGTAATGTTATTTTTCAATATTTATTGTATTAAAAGTCGAATTAATTTATTTTTGACCTAGGAAACTACCCAATTCCCCGAATCCCTCTAAAAAATGTCCACGTCTCGTCCCTGTATGGCATGACTGGTAGGACTCACTCGTTTATGACCAAGAGAAGTCCCGACCACGATTTCTATATACAGCCCAGCCTCGCCGTATCCTTCTTCGGGCCTCCCTTTCGAAGATCTTTCTACCAAACTGTGTCGTTTGCCTTAGGTAGGCATTCTCTTGAACTCAATGCGTCTTCATCTCGATGGTTGATCGGCTCCAGAAGTTCATCTGGAGTACGATGCGAGCATAAGTATCAGCCAGGCTGTTTAGCATAATTATATTGTCCTTTCACGATGAGGATATAGCAAATCGATGACGGATGTGCCATCCTACGGCGGCGGACTCCAGAAAATATCATGTTTCGACAGAGTCAAAGGTTTCTTCATAGTCCACAACACCAGGCCAGGCCATGACATAATTATTGGCATATTATACTTACTACTAACTTATTGTTAAGTAGTGGTGACCCGGAGGTTAAAGCTCCCGTTTCTTACGCATGAGGGTTCGAAACCTAGTAGTAAGTACCAATGTGACTTTTTCCGAATTATATGTACTCTCTATGATTATTTAGATACAACTGACATAATGGTGAAGTAAAACGTCGTGAGGAAACCTGGACTTAATTCATAATTATAAGTTTGAAATCGCGAATCCGCTTTGAGAAAGCTTAGTACCTAATTCTGCGTGCAAAAAGAGGCCGTTGCTAAGCAAAGCTGATGATGATGATACTCACTACTCAGTTTCTTAAACATAATATATGGTTCATGGTACCATATACCCCTTGAAAGCCGGCTTGTTTAGAAAACTGAAACTTATTGACCCTTCGCGCGAGACGTTAGTTATGACTCTGGACCCTAATTTATAGACGGGGATCAGAAGAAAATAGGTCGGTAGATCCTCAAAAGTGTTTTGTCTTTCTTTTTGAAAAACATAATGACAATATTCCTACACCGCGCCCTTGGAAATCCCTCTCCCCACCCATAAATTTGCCTCAAACACGCGTTGGGAGCTTTCCACATGTCTTCAGCAGCTCGTTCGTAACTTCGTCCTCTCTGGGGTCTTTTCCATTTTTAAGCTTAAAAGCCAAACACAATCTCATTTGGATCTTATCTGATATCCGGTATCTCTTCTGTAATGTGGCTGACAAGTGTGGCCCTAGAGATCAACGAATGTAGGTAATTGTGGACGAATGTAGGTGATTGTTTTTAAAATACACAATTTAGCGTAGAAACTCCGAACGCTAGCATCTCCGGTATAGAGGCAATATTTTTTTATATTATGTGGTCAACTTTGTCAGATGGCCTTCATAAATATAAGATAAAGATGGGATTCATAAAGACGGAGTTCATCAAAGATATTTTAGAAGAAATTTAGAGAGGCATGTTGTTTTACTCCACCCCGTTCGATCCATAGGATGCAAATACTACATAATATTTTTTCTCCAAAGAGCCGCGGGCTCCCGGTAAATGCGTAAGGAATGATCAACTACACGTCGACCTCAAAATGTCCTTATCCTTCTCCTTGTTTTAATCCATTCATAAAATGTTTGTCAAAGCCTTATTTTAAATCTGCCAAAAAGCACCCAAACCTCCTCGCCTCATAGTGTTGACCGCCTTTTATTAAACCGAGCGACCTACAAGAGAACCGAAGTGAAATCAGCACCGGTCTCGTCGCAGATGGCAGTCGCGACACTCCAGTAACGATAAAAACCGACTCCGGGTAAACGCCCCAGCCTGTTTTTGTCAGGGGAAAATCATCAAATGACTTCGCTCGCCCAGGGTAAGGCGAGAGAGAGCGTTATACTCTTACGGACTCCCTCGTTCCTTTCTTGCTCGGGGCCGAGGCCGCTGTGACTGGTGGAACGCGGTGAACGCCCCAGCCTGCGATGCTAAGCCAACAGTAGTATTAAAAACCCCCTTAAATATTCAACTGCCTGATGCAACTTTTTGCCCCTCAATGGCCCCGCTACCCCGAGGTTCGAACGCCGCAGCGATGCGGTCATTAAGTAGATATAGATTTTGTTGCCTTAGTAGATATGGATTTTGAGGTATATGGTTACTGTTTTTAAGGTAAGTATGTGGTTACTGACTGTCTGTTAGATAATAATAAGGTAATCTATGTCAGGTACTGTGTTTCGCCCGCTTTTTATGCATGAGGGTGGGTTCTAAACCTAGCAAGTACCAATGTGATTTTTTCCAAGTTATCTGACATAAAAGCTAACATACAGTGAAGAAAAACATCGTGAGGGAACCTGAACCTATATCATATTAATTTATAATTATTTAAGATTGAAATCGCCAATCCGCCTTGAGCAGGCATGAGGCCTTTGGTCAGCAGTGGCCACTTGTATGCTTATGATGTTGTGTACTATGTATCTACAGAATCTACGTTTCCTCTATGGTTTCTGCTTCCAAATCCATGTAACTTGACTACCAATTCGCCGCTAATGTGTACTACCTCTGTAGCATTGAAATCTCCATAACGACGTGGAAAAGATCCTTTTAGGTTTTTTTTTTTTTATTGATTATAGGTTCGCGCTTGACCGCTATCTCACCTGATGGAAAGCGACGATGCGGTCGACGATGGAGCGCGCTTACCTAGAAGTAACCTATTCACTCTTGACTTAAAGATACCCAGATTGTAGCTATCAGGAAACACCGACTCCGGCAAGGAATTCCACTCCTTGGCTGTACGCATGATGAATGTGCTCCCAAAACGTTTTGTACGTATATGTGGGACATCCACCACGTACCGGTGGCGCAATGCCGTACGTCTGGTGGTCCGATGATGGAACGGGCTAGGCCGAATTAAATTATGTAATTCCAACGCACATTCCCCGAAATGCAACCGGTAGAAAACCGACAGGCTAGCAACTCGGCGTCGATGCTCAAGACTTTGAAGTCTCGACTCGACAAGTGCATCATCGCCAATGATCCTCTTGGCTCGCCTCTCAATAGACTCAAGCGCATCAAGTTGGTATCGGGCAGATCCGTCCCAAAGATGAGAGCAGTACTCCATAACCGATCGAACTTGCGCCTGATAAAGTTTAAGCAGCTGTTCCGGCGTAAAGTATTGTCTAACCCTTGCGAGGATTCCCAACTTTTTTGCAGCCAGTTGAGCTTTTGATTCGATGTATGGCCCAAAATTGAGAGTAGATGTCAGCGTTATACCAAGAAGATCAAGATGGTCAGCTATCGGCACGGATACACCCCGGAAAGTTGGAGCAGGGCTAAATTGACTCCTTTTGCTGGAAAATAGACACGCCTGAGTTTTAGCTGCATTGAACCTGACCATGTTGGCGTCGCCCCATTTAGAGACAGCCTCCAAGGACAAGTTCAAGCGCCCAACCATAGCCTCTCGAAGAGTCTGGATCTGTGACCCACTAGCTCGTGCGCCGGACGTGTAACTCTCAACAACAGTGCTGTCGTCTGCATACCCAAAGGTACCGGGCTTAAGCAGGTCGTTTATGTGCAACAAGAACAATGTTGCCGAGAGCACTGACCCCTGAGGGACCCCAGCATTGATGGTCATTTGATTCGACGAGCAACCATCGATGACCACACGGATGGACCGGTCCCTCAGAAAGTCTGCGATCCAAACACACAATCCAGTGGGCAAACCGAATGAAGGAAGCTTACTAATAAGGCTTTCGTGCCATACCCTATCGAAAGCCTTCGAGATGTCAAGGGAGACGGCAAGCGCTTCCCCGTGTTTCTCGATGGCCTCACTCCAGATGTGGATGGCATACGATAGAAGATCACCTGTGGACCGATTCCGGCGAAATCCGTATTGTCGGTCACTTAAGATGTCATTGGCTTCTAGGTATGCCAGGAGTTTTGTGTTCAGCACACGTTCCATTGTCTTACAGAGAATGGACGTTACTGAGATGGGCCTGTAGTTAGCTGGGTCAGCCCGACTACCCTTTTTGGGCACGGGCTGTACGTTAGCTTGCTTCCATGCATTCGGAACTTTTCCAGCCTCAAATGAAAGCCTAAATAGACGCGTCAGGATTGGAGTCAATTCTGGCGCACACGTTTTCAGCACGATTGCCGGTATCCCATCAGGACCGCTAGCCTTGTTCACGTCTAGGTTACGTAGCACCCTACGGACGTCCTTCTGATGGATGCGAATGTCTGACATACTCGTCTCACAACCATCAGGATAAGCAGGGGGCCGCGCGTCACCGGGATCTAGACGCGAAGATTCCGCGAAGAGGGAGGCAAACAGATTTGCTTTCTCCTCAGCGGTGTGGGCCAGCGAACCGTCGGGCCTCAGCAATGGCGGTAGTGAGGGGCGGCAGAAGTTCGATTCAACCGACTTAGCCAAGGACCAAAACGCTTTGCTACCAGCGGGGTATAAAGCAAGTTTGTTCCCGATGCGGCTGATGTGGTCGAATCGAGACCTCCGCATTGCCTTCTTGCAAGACTTGGCAGCACTGTTGAAGGCTCTCTTCTTCTGACTCACGTCACTCGCCTTACGCATGCGAGCGTCGGCCCAGGCCCGGTATGCTTCGTGTTTAAGCGCATTAGCGCGATCACATTCAGTACCGAACCAAGGACGAGCTTGGCTAGACATTGTCACGTCGGAGAATGGAATGTAGTACTCCATCCCCCTGCGCAGCACATCCGCCACAGCATCTGCGCATCACGATGGATCATTCGAAGAAAAGCAAGTAGGCTGCCAAGGATAACATGCGAAGAAAGATCGCATGCCCTCCCAATCTGCTGACCTGTATCGCCAAATCCGCCTGGTGCCTCTAGGGCAGAGATCAGGCGGAGAATAGACTGATACAGATTTCACCAGACAGTGGTCGGAACTACCTAACGGTGATGATATCGACACTGAGTAGCGGTCTGGATCTGTTGTCAGCAGAAGGTCCAAGCAATTGGCCGTGTGCGAATCAACATCCGGCACCCTTGTAGCTCCCTGGACCAGCTGAGTGAGATTTAATGCCAGCGCAAGCTTTCGCATCTCTCGACCAGCATGGTCTGTGCACTGGTATGGGAAGAGCCACTCCTGATGGTGGGCTAGGATTAAAGTCCCCCAGTAACACCAGTTGAGCGGAAGGGTACCTCTGCTGAGCCGCATCCGCCGCCTCACTAAGGTACTGTGTGAGCCTGGTCGCCTCCTGGTCTCCACTGTGCGAGCGGTAAACACAAGCATAGATAATTTTATCCATGCCTGTGTCCACCAGAGCCCAAAGCGTTGAGAATTTGGGATCCTCAAGGTTGCGGAGACGCCGATAGCAGATGTCGTCCCGGGCGTACAAGCACACGCCAGCGTGTGGTTTAAAATTGTGCTCCAGGATAAACCCTGGGTAAGACAGATACGACACATCTGATGGACTTCTAATCTGCGTCTCCGAAAGAAAAAAGAGGGATGGTTTTTCCGTCTCAAGGTGGTGATGGACTGCTGAGAGATTGGAGTGCAGACCTCGAATATTGCTGAGGTGCACTTTAAGTGAGAGGGAGTGCAGCCGCTGTGTACCGTTTCTCTTTTTCTTGGAACTTGGCATAATATGAGTGAAGGAGGTATGAGGAGAAGGAAGTGAGATGGAGCCCAATGCAGCCCACCCTCGGTCGCGCACCGGTGGGACAGCATCATTGGGGTACTAGTCTGGAGACTGCGGGGACGCCCGAGCCCCCCCGGAAATGACCATCGGGCCCTCTCTTCTGGTCGCCAACCAGCACGATGGTGCATTCCGGGATTTTTCGTCAGTTGGCGGGGCAGCCTTTCACGTGTGGCTAGCACATTACTTGGGCCCCCTACTAACTGCGGTCGGCCAGCGGTGCACCGTGCCTCGGATCCCGCTACCCTCCTCGACTAGTCTTCCGATACGTCAATACCAGCGCGAGGCCGGCTGGTCTGCATGCATTGGAACCGCCACTTCGACCCATTTCCTCAGAAGTGGCTACACAGGGCATCGTACCGGAACACGGCTAGGCCGCTTGGCGGTACGTCTTTGCCCAGTGGGTGGTCACAAGCCATCGGTCGAAACCTACCACCAGCTAGTGTCACCTGATTAGCACCACCCGGGGACCACGTGTAGGGCCTAACTGTGGGTATTCTCCTACGGACGCGGGTGACTCAGCCCCCAAATTAGGTGGTGGTGAGGTCCTGGATTTTTTTTATACATGTCCTCTACCTCATCACCCGAGTGTGTCAAGATAGGTGCGTATGCGTAATGACTTAATAGCTAGCTTCTTTTACTACTATCTCAACTTTATAAAGGATGTCAGTAGCAGATTGTACTTTCAATCCTTGTCAAGAAAGAATATTATCATTCACACATTTATTCTCCTTTGGCAGCACTATTGACCAAACTGTAGAAGGCATAATATAAAAAAGTGTTCTTGTCCGCCTTTGGTGGACCCTAGAAGCAGGTGGGGTACAACGGGTGTGTACCCAGTCCTTCATCTTGGAAACGAAGGAGTTATTAAGGTTGTAAAAACATTTTTAATTATTTATTATCTAGAGCTCTCCAGATCCGTAGATTTTGCGAAATTTTAAATCAGACTAAGCCAAAAGCTATACCATAATATGCTCTTACAGTTGTAAAGCAAAATTTCATTACAGAATGGACTAAGACAAAACTAGTGCTGTGATTTATAAAAAGGCCAAGTGTCCTGTCAACTGCCTCTCAATCAGTTTTAAGGGATATATGGTAGAGTATGGTTACAGAATCTTGCTGCCCGCAGGTCAAGCAAGCGAGCAGGTAGATCACCTGATTGTAAGCATGCAGAGCCGCTCATGGACACTCAAAATACTAGAGGCAGACATGGCAAGTGCAAACAAGTGCAGGGCAACCCTTACTCAGGACTCAAGATACATAAACAGGATAATAGGAAAGCAGCACCGAAGCCCTACCTGCCCGTGCCATGGTACAGAAACAAAATTGTAAATAAATGGGAATCAAGGACCGCCACCTGTATCAATTTGTTAATCTCTTTTATTTACGCCTTTATTCACCATCGTAGGTCATCTGTTGAAAACATTTCGTTTATTTTCCACAATAAAAGATTTGTGAGGAAATTAGCCTCCACAATTCGTGAGAAAAGGACGATACCTCATACAAAAATATTTTAAAATAATATCGTAATTAAAAGAAACCAAAGACAAAAATAACTTCTTATGTTATCTATCGGTACAACGTCGAATTTGTAGATGACTGGTTTAAAGAACTTGTATCCAAGCCATAAACTCCAAAAAAATTGTAGATGACGGATGACACCGACAGCTGTGAAAACGTCAAATTATTTTGTTTTTGGAGGTTAGAAATGTTTTAGATTTCACATGACTTTATTTACATTTGATCATATTGATTAAAAATATTTATCAAAAATGAGTGATTCTTATCATGTCGTTCCGTGGTTTAATAGTGAAGAGTGGCATGGTGTCTACGACGATTTAGCTGACCCTTCTTCAAATAAAGAAAAGTTGCTTGAATGTTTACTTGTGTGGAAAGCCAGATGCCCATCACTACCATCCGGTATTGAGTCAACTTTGAGTTTGTTGCAAGTTTATAATGAAGATAACAAAAACCATGACTATGAGAGCAGTGATCAATTACTGCGTTTGGCATATTCATCTGCCATCATGCGATTTGTTAACCATATGTTAGATACAGAAACAGTAAAAGGCGCGAGTTTATATCAAGCAGCTAGAACCTTGGGCGTTCCAGACTGGGTCGTTGACTTGCGACACGATACCGCCCATAGTAACACACTTCCCCCTTTGAAATTGCTAAGAGAAGGGTGTTTAATAAGTTTACAGTGGCTACAATTAAACTACTGGGACAAACTGAAACCATACATTAAGGATTATGTTTGTGGACAAGAATACCCCGTTTCGGGTGATATATATAAAATTGAAACACTGCTTAACTTTTATATTTCTTTAGGAATATGCATTCAGACAAAAATAAAAATGAAAAACTTGTCAGAAATACCAAATGCTAAGATGAGAGATACAATAGTAAGTAATGCAAGAGAGTTGCTTCGGGACCAAGATCTGTCCAATTTAAAAACTGTATCCATCAATTCACTTATCAACATATTGAATATTCAAGGTAAAAAGCTTTTGAAGGTGAAGGAGCCCAGCACACTTGTCACTGAGATTTTACTTGGCAATGAATCACTGTTGCTATCAAAGGAACTTTTGTACTTCTTTGGTGCAAATGATTTTAAATACAAAAATAAGCTATGCAGCAGCTATGTTAGATGCTTTGAAATCTTGTTGACTTTCCTGCATACAAATGATTTGTTGTTGGATTTAATTATGGGCCTTGTAAAGGTTACTCAAAATCAAGAAAGTGGACATTTTAAATCCAAACTATCTGCATTATGGCTATCAGAAATTTTAGCAGCTCTCAAAATCTCACAAAACATTGTAAAAAAAACGAAAAAGTAAGTTGAACTTTGGTAGCTTTAATTTGCAATTTATATTTTTTGAATATTAGTAACTTATATGTGTATATTTTTTCAGAATGAGTTTAGATGACAAAACCTCGAAGAAGAAGAATGACATAAAAAAATTGTATGAACATTGGTACCCTGGCACTAGTATCAAAAATAGATTTCTGTTGGACCTCCAAAAATCTGCTCCAGAGGAGTTACAAGACATCAGTTATATCAACCCAATAATTACTACTTACAATAATTATTTAACTTACTTTATAAATACTCTTTTAGACTTACTCGAACCAAATTTACCAAGAGTGGTTTACCAAAAAATTTGCAATTTGGCTAAATTAATATCAACTCCAGAAAAGTTCCCAGTTACTGCATCTTCTGCGATTTACACAGTTGATGATTTGGAAGCAAATGATGATGTTATGATTGTAGAAAATGTTGAAGAGAAAGAATGTGGGAAGGAAGAAGCAGTTAATAGGTCAAGTGAACACCCAAAAATTATAAACAGTATTTGGAAATTAGCTGCCAATGAATTTGACTGGATGACATGCCCTATTGGTAAATTGCCTAGTCAGAATAAGGAAAAAGAAATGGAAACAAACTAAACACTATAATAATTGCAATTAAACACATTTATCTCATTATTCTTTTTTTTATTTTCATATTTTGTATACAGTATAATGTTTTGGTTACATTTCATTTATATTGACACATTATAGGATCCCTAAAAATAGTTGAACAATATACATGTTTATATGATACAAGATTCATTATTGATTAACATTTAGGACAAAGTTCACAGTCAAATGACATACAGTTATATAAAACGACCATGTGTAAACAGCTTATTATTGGTCCTTATAGCAAATACAATTACAGGATTGAATAAACAAATGCCAGATGTCTGTAACTTACTCAAATATCAAACTAATATCTTATAAATCAGTTCCATAAACATGGGTATTAATAAAATAACTGTTACAGTGCTAGTTGGCAACAGAAAATAAAATGTATAGTCGCACATATAATTTTAGGTTTAAAATTTAATTTTCAATGATATTTAATATGAAACGACAAACTACGATAAAATTTCAACAATCCAATAATATAATGCACCAATAGAGAATTTTAAATGAAACAATGATTGATAGGCACTTTCACAAATAAACAGTGGCAGAGACTATAGCAGTCCTTAAGATAAAATAGTACCTTGCTAAGAGTTGTCATAGAACTAATAAATTATTTACATAAACCTTACGCGGAACAGGCGAATATCTACATACACTTCTAAAGTGTTAATTCCTAGTTGTAGCCACATTGCACATTCATTAATCTTTCTTGTAAAATAACTTAGTTTAACATTATGATTATGAGTATGTTCGCTGATGGGGAGCTCGTAAACACGATACGATTATTACATCATCGAGACCTAACCACATTACACATATATTTATATACTTGAAATGTAGAATGTATGTGGCTAATATTAATGTTGACGCTAACAACGCTATACAAGAATACTAATAAATGTAAACCATCAACAATAATAGCTAGACTTTCAGACGTGTTCAGGCTAGTCAGAGACTGCTGAAAGCAAACTAGTCGAAGGCACAGAAAGTACACTAGATTACTGCGACACAACCCCAATAAACGAGAAACAACAGAGTTTTTTATACATAAAAATATAGTATTTGTTCGGCACCTTGATAAGACATGCACTTCTATGGTTAATTTAAATTTAACAAATGCAAATAAGTCTAAGAATAGTTTTCTTCATTACTTTTTCTCTTCTGTGTAAATTGCTCAAAAGGTATGCCTCAGTATCAACTGTGAGATTCAAACAAATTTCGTGATATTATAAATGGTACAAAACGTTTATTTAAGCTTATTAGAATATAAGTTATTACAGTCCTTCATAAATGTAGAGCTATAAAATATGTCCACAGACGATAGTTAAACAAGAGGCTTACAAACATTACAAGTTGTCACAGAGTAATTCGTTGTTTGTATAGTAAATTGTTAAAACCTAATTAATAAAAAGCGGGTAAAATATTTGTGACTTAACAATAAATTCAATAGCTTATTTTAAGACAGTCTTTTAGAATATGAAAGCAAATTAAAATAGAGGCAAGGTACATGGTGTTCATGATCATATTTGGGATAATATTAAATCATAGGTTTAAAACATTTTGAGGCGCCAAGTACCGAAGTAAGAAGAAATATGTTATATTTAAATACAAAATATTTATTTATACGTAAAATAACCATTAAATGTCTAATACATTAGTTATGATCATAAGTACTCAGGCAAAATATTTGAAATCAGATAAAGTTCCGAATGCTTTATAACATTCGTGTTTAACATACATACAAGTTGCTTAATAATACAGTAAGTATATATGAATTCAATTAATAACATGAGGCAAAGCAACTAGATATAAATTTTGGTTTAGAACATAATTAATCGATACCTTGTATAGTTTGGAACATGATTAGTTAACTAGGATCACAAAAATCTCAATTTAATTTCGTAAATCTAAACGTCGTTAAGTGATGTCTTTGGGTTGGTTTAATTTTGAACTTTTTCTACAGAACACTATTACACGACCCACAAACTAACTCAACATCACTAATTCCTTGTCCTAAAACTATATGAAATTTAAGAATACCAATTTGGCATATTCTTTTCATGTGTGTCGGATAAATTTTGTTACCATTTTGCGTCGACGACGAGACAACGTAATATATCTAAAAAAAATAATTACACAAAATGGAATGAATCACTTTTCAACAAGTAGCTCAACAAGCCTGTAAGTTTTAACCTACCAACTAATCGCAAACTTTGAAAAATACAGTCACGTGTCTTCCTAAGTCGTCTAATAACAAAATAAGAAAGAAGAACAATATATTGCTATAATTTTTAAAATCACCTTTAGACATGATTTACATATTTACACAGAAAATATATCATAAAATACGTCAGTGCAAAGATGGATGTAAATATTTTTATGTACGAAAAAATACGTTTATATTCACACATCACAAGTTTGGGCAATCGCCTAGGTGTATCAGCGGCGACTATGACTTACTGGAATAAGCTCATCACTACATCTAAGTACGGTAGAACAACGGCTACGTCGACTTCTCATGCGCATACTACTGCTAGCACATGTACACTTGTCTAAAACAGCTCAATTACATAGCACATAGTACGATATACAAGAATAGGAGTGTTGGTTGCACATCGATCTCTATCTGCAGTTACTTCATCGCTAAGCAACATTACCTACGATAAGTTGCATACGTACAATAAATACTATCCGGCGAGTATTGAAACACTCTGCAGTGGAATAACTATAAACAATTTAAAATAACGCACAGGAACATTTAACTTGTTTATTCTGTCATGATTTTAAATATGGAAAACTTATCCAATCATGCATGTTTTGACAACATGTTTATAAATATCATGGCGGAGCTTGGACGTCATTGTATAACATCTGGTTGAGGGCGCCCGATTGTTTATTTGTCGCACTTGCATTACTGCAGACTGGGTGTAATCGTCCACGTGTTGATATGATCCAGGTGATGGAGATAGTGGCTTTACACCATAATGGGGTCGTCCGAGGACAGTTGTCGGTGTAAGAGTCGCTGCGAGCGCATGGAGCTGGCTCCAGTGCTCAGGTCGTCAGTGCTGCCCAGTTCGCCGTCGTGGTCCGTCGTTGAGAGCATTTCGTCGTCCGACGTCGCTCTAATGAAACAACATTACATGAATAAGAAGTACAGAGAAATAGGGACGATGAAAGCCAGTCAAATTTAATACATTTTATTTTTATTTTAAAACGATACATCCTAAGAATTTTCTAAGAGATTCCTAGTGGCGTTGTCATAACAGTTTTGAATTAAATATCCTATTATACTATAATTTTCTCTCGAATCAAAATTATTTAAAAGAAATCAATTAACGTCAGCTTGTGTCGTGAGTATGCAACATATTACTTACGATTAGTTACGATGTTTATGTTAGTGTCGCCCCCGCCTGATGAAGGCGTCATACCTGATAAGTGTGGGCAGGTTGGAGGTGAGGATGGCCTTCTCCTTCTGTATCTCGTGTATGTGTCCGACCAGTATCTGCTCCTCGGGTCGCGGCGCGTGGCTGTGGGACCGCAGCGACGACAGTCGGCTGGTGGCCGTGTGGCACGCCGTGTCCAGCGTCGCTATGTCCTGCAGCATGCCGCGTACCTAAACCAGGCCAAGTGTTAGTATTTCAAGTTTTGTTCAAACCATGTAAGAGGCCTTGATGTGAAATGGTGAATGTAAGAGGCATTGATAGGAAATGGAGATTACGTATGGAGAACAAGAGCCACTTTGAATCGACTCTACAATGGAGTAAATTTTACTCAAAAATCTTTGAAAAAATCACATGTATAATTCTTTGTATTTTCCGAAAGGACATTAACATCACTCCCAGAAAATGAGTCTATTAGCGATGACAATTACAAAAACCGGTAAATTTTTCAACGAGTAAGATTGTTACAAATTCAAATATTGTTAAAAATGAGGCTTACGGTGCGCATCTTATCGACGAGTATAGCCTCTAGACAGGCAGTCTGGCGCGCGATGTCGTGCAGGGAGTCCTGCGCGGGCTGTACCTTGTGCGTGCGCAGTATGCACGGCGCAAACACGATAGCTAACGCATTCGGACCCATCCTAAAAAATACACAAAGTTATTGGATAAGTTAAAACTCAAGCATACAAGAAACGTAAAAAATACCACCTAAGTGATTAAAACTTTAACAATCATTCCATCTTTTCTTTCATTATAATTATTATTAACACTAAAACATCAGTATACATTGGTTTTTCTTGATATAATTGTATAAAAGATCTTTTGTTACTTAGTGTTATATCTGATTTAAATAATAACAAAATTACCTATTATGATCCTCTCCAAGTGCCACCCTTGCCAAGTGGAATATTAGTCTTTCGACGAGATCGAAGTTTGGTTTCGGTAGCTTTCTTAGAATGGTAAATATAGTAGAGACCCGCTCCTAGAAAAAAGAAAAAAGATTATTTTCATCTTATTTTTGTGTGCACTCATAATTTATAGAATTACGATTTTCCTAATGTATAAATATTGCTGATACTGATTGTTTTTGAATTGGACTATAAATAACGTCATTTCCAAAAAGCAAATTTGCGGTATACATTTTCATTTAGCTAGTAATCAAAGTCAAAAGTCAAAAGTCAAAAATCATTTATTTCAATTAGACCACAGTAGGCACTTTTGAACGTCAAGCAAGCAAAGAAGGAAAAAAAGTATATAACAAGAGTCAGTCTGTCCGTCTGTCCTCTAGTGAAGCTATTTGCTTGTTCCAAAGTGTAGATTCCTATGGAGAAGAACGAGCAAGAAACTCCATGGTTACTCTTTTTCAATCAGTTTTACAATACATTTCTTTGTTACATCATTTAGTCGGTTCTGATATGTGAGAACAATGTAACACTAATGTTCAGGCAAAAAGTACGAAAAAGAAGTGATAATAATAATAAAACTTTGGTTTTGAAAGATGTCCAGATGCCTGCATGCCTTTGTCCTAGATCAAGTGCAGATGCAATAAATAAAATACAGTAAAAACAAAAT